TGACTGGATCAGAGAAACAAGAAAAGAAATATCCTGATCTCTCTACCCTGTTATGCAGGCAGATGTTACTTTCAGACTCTCAAGATGACAGCTATTGACCTATCTCCTATGTGGGCTCTGACTGCACAGGAATCTGCCTGTTTCCATGTGAGAAATACTGAGGAGGAAAGAACGGTCGATGGATTTCCAGCCACCTACTTACAGGGACCAGTGACATTTAAAGATGTGGCCGTGGAGTTTACACAGGAGGAATGGATAATGCTGGACTCTGCTCAGAGACATATGTACAGAAATATGATGTTGGAAAACTACATAAATCTCACCTCAGTGGCATATCAATTATGCAGGCCTTCTGTGATCTCCTAGCTGGGTCAAGAAGAGATAAGAACTATGAAAAGAATAATTCCCAAAGCCAATTACCTAGATTGGGATATTCTAACTAAAAACAATGAACCAACTCCTAAGCAGAATATTTTTGGGGAAAAGACACCCAATGGTAAGATGGTAAGATTCACAGTGGATGGTTGGTCTTCCACATTAAGAGAAGACTGGGAATGCCATAAGATCAGAAAACACAATATCCCAGAGGGAAATTTAAAGCAAATGATATTTACCCCCAAGAAGACAGCCTATCAAGATTCTATGACTACCATGAATTACAGGAAAACTCTAAATTTAGATCAAAACTTGTTTTTTCAAAGAGAGTTTTCACCAGCAAACAATGCCATAATTGTTCCTTCTATATTGAGTGTTTAAAGCAGAACTCCACCCTAAACAATTACGGGGGAAACTTTGTGAGTGAGAAGCTCTGTGAAAGTTACGAATATGCTAGAGCACTGTGGCATCTCCCAAGAACTCAAACGCACAAGAATAGTCTACACGCTCCAAACATGGAATACGCTTCAAATGCACAAGAATAGTCTACACGCTCCAAACATGGAATACGCGTCAAACGCACAAGAATAGTCTACACGCTCCAAACATGGAATACGCGTCAAACGCACAAGAATAGTCTACATGCTCCAAACATGGAATACGCGTCAAACCTAAGATGCTTCCTACACATAACAATTTCAAATGGCAGAAAATTCCTATGAATGTAATAACAATAAAACTTGTCATCATTCATTCCTTAAGCAACAGGAGCAGTCTCCTATTGGAGAGAAACATTATGAATGTAATCAGTATGGAAAAGCCTTCAAAAAGATTCCTAATTTTATTTTGCACAAGAGAAGTCACATGGGCAAGAAGCAATATGAATGTAAAGAATGTGGGAAAGTCTTCAATGATTCCTCAATCCTAAGGAGACATGTAAGAACTCACACTGGTAAGAAACCCTACGAATGTCATCAATGTGGGAAAGCTTTTAGTCAAAAAACATCTCTTAAGATTCATTTGTGAACTCACACCAGAGAGAAACCCTCTGAGTGTAGTCATTGTGGGAAGTCTTTTGGAACAAGTTCTTACCTTGTAATGCACAAGAGAATACACACTGGGGAGAAACTCTATAAATGCAGCGACTGTGGAAAAGCCTTCAACACAAGCTCTCACCTTAAAGTTCACACGAAAACACACACTGGAGAAGATCTTTATGAATGCAAGGACAGTGGAAAAGGTTTTAGTGGTCTCTCATCCCTTAAAGTGCATGTGAGAACTCACAATGGAGAGAAACCCTATCAATGTATTCAATGTGGAAAAGCCTTCAGTCAGAGTTCTTCACTTATTATACATAAACGAATTCATACTGGAAGATAATCCCTGTGTTTTGAATGTGAAATTGCCTTTTTTATTGTCTTAAGATGAATTAAAAGCTCATTATTTCATTCTTTGTTCTCTAATATAAGCATTTAAGGCTATATATAGTCCTCTAAATACTCCTTTAGCTATATAACACATATTGGTCTATGTTATTTTGTTTTAATTCTAAGTGTTATACATTTATTATGTCTATTAGATTCATGGCTATTTAGAATTATGTATTTGTAATATGTGCAGTAAGGTTTTCACTTACCTTCTTATTGATTTCTAAGTTAACTGCATTATGTTTAGAATATCTGGACAGCCCTAAAACTCAGCAAATGTCCCATGGGAGAGAACCACCTGTACATCTGAGGCTCCTCACTTTCCTTATCTGCCAACCTCAACCTCAAGTGACCCCTAAAACTTTTGTTTTGTTTTGTTTTTTTAATATATTTTATAGGTTTTTTACAGAGAGGAAGGGAGAGGGATAGAGAGTTAGAAACATCAATCAGCTGCCTCCTGCACACCTCCTACTGGGTATGTGCCCGCAACCAAGGTACATGCCCTTGACTGGAATCGAACCCAGGACCCTTCAGTCCGCAGGCCTATCCATGGAGCCAAACCAGTTAGGGCACCCCTAAAACTTTTGTGATTTCTTTTCCCCCCAAGCTCACATTTAAAATCAGGAAATGCTTACAAGGGCAAAATAGCATGTGATTACCAGGTTACCTCAGCAGGGTTTTCCTTCCGGAATATGGTTCATCTAGTCCTCTGCTTCCACAGCTCAGTGATGCCTTTGAAAGTGATTTTTTATATTTATCTGCTTTACCTAGTTGCTTTCTCAATACTGCATCCCAACTTGAAGCAGACTTTTTGAATATATTATAAATAACAGTTAAACTCAATCTCATAATAACAACATTGCATTCAGTTGAAGGGGTAATAGTGATCAGCTGTAACCATATTTGACACACACAAGACATGGCTACTGCATCTAGGAGTGTGCCAATGTTGAAAGTCATTCAGCTGTCCACTTAGTTTGATTGTATCCAAGATAATTACTCAAAAGGTAAGCTCTAATTCAGACAAGGTTTCACAAGGAGTCATAATCGAGGACAGGTACCCTGTATTGTGTGAATGATTACTGAATGTGCTCTTCTACGGGGGATAGACATGTTCACTGGGAGGGTGATGGTGTAATAGTGTGTGGATAATTGAATAAGCATGACAACAGATTAAGAAAATCCTGTAACTGTCCAGAGGTATAATAGCTGCAGTCCTGAGTCTGTTTCACATGAATTTCTCACACCTTGACTATGCAAACTTAAGATAACTGTATGTCTGAAATACAAACGTCTTACACTACAAGATCAAAATGGTCTAACTGGGTATTTACCCCTTCACATGTATTGACACAGTCACACTATATATCACCACTATTTCTCCATTGTAACAGTACAATACAAATTTGAACTGAAATATTATAGTATACAAATAATTTGAAGTACATCATCACATACTTTTCTACTGCTGGTTGCTTTTTTTTTAATCTTTATTGTTGAAATTATTACATAGGTCCTCCTTTTCCCCCATTAACCTCTTCCAGCCCGCTCCTATCCTCCTCTCCCCACCACAGTCACCATTAATGTTTCTGTCTCTCTCTCCCTCTCCCTTTCTCTCTGAATAAAAATATATTTTAAAAAATAAAGTGAGAAAAAGAATGATGGGAGGTTACTTTAGATTAGCAACAAAGGCCTTGTTGGGGTCCAGCCCCAGCAGGTCCAGGGGTTCCCAAAGGTGTGGATGGAGTTGGTGAAGAAGGAGTGACACGGAGGCAGCGTTCAGTTGGTCAGCACTGCCAGGTTCCCCTCTACTGCTGGTGCTTTTATATCTCAACGTGTCTGGCCACTGTTACTAAATTCCATCTTAAGAAAACAAGCTAATTTTATTGTCTTCTACCTCTGGAAAGCACCACAGCTTATAACAAACGTGTTAGATATGAAAAAAAATGTAACAGATTTATGTGCTAAAATCGAGTGAAAGAAAGCAACTATGAACCTTGACAGCATCTTCTTGCAATGACAAATAAAGCACACTGTATAAACAAAAACGTCCACAGTCTACTTTCTTTTTTCAGTGGCGAGAGTGTTTTGACATCTCTTTTACTTATACATATAGGAATTATCTGTATTTTAGTTTAAGTAAAAATCATAGTCCTTATTTTCTGAAATATCTTACCACAAATTAAGGAGAGGAATTTTTGAAAGTTATGTTGTTTAGAATGGTGTTGCATGAAGGACAGAGAAAGTTATTATTTTTGATAACATGACTCAGGTAATATATCTGTGAGCTGAACTACCTGTAAAGGCACTTCCTGCCTGATTGCCCTTCACTTACCTGATCTTAGGCCTCTTGTCACTTTGTCTCCATCACTCTTTCCCTTGCTCCAGTAAGGAGGTCACATTTGGTTTAGAAAGAGAAAGTCCTGCTTACAAGAGAGAAAATAGATACTTCAAAATATTATAGTTTTACTCAGCTTCAGACCCAATCTCTTAGTAAAGGGAGGAAAAGCTATTACAAGAACAAGAGCAGGAGGAAAATGCATCCACTTCCCTATTCTACCCATTTTTAATCATCTCAAGAACATGGAGCAGGAGTTCAGCCAGGCAATTTGGAGCCCAGCCCCTAATATTTCCTATGGAAACAGTAAAGATGCCTAAATTCAGATTCTGGCTTTGAGGGAATGATACCCGCCCCCCCCATAGTTCTCCAACACTACATTCCCATATGAATTATTCTGGATGGGATCTAGTCAGCCCCACTCCTCCTGAAAAGTCTGTGGCCACATCACTCAATGTTATAAACCTCTGAAATGATAAATACATTCTTGTTCACCAGAACACCCCCCCCCCCCACCACTCCCCAACCTCACATGGTGCTGGGGAAAGTGACAATGCTGGCCACACTATGGGAAAGGGAGGGTTTGTACAACAGAATTGTTCTGGTCAAGTTTGAGGCGTTAGGTCATTCTAGACAAGTAATTACTCAGCAACAGCTGTGTTCTGTTGTCACCCTGAATGGGAAAGAAAAATGCTAGCCTCTCGTTTTGTGAACGATTTACATACATGAAACAACAAATGAGGCACTTATTCAAGTACTAAACTGCACATTACACACACTAGATGTGAGGAAAGTTCTTACAAGAGGCAGCCAGTTGCTTTAAAGATAGGACATTAAAAAATGGGCAAGGTGTACATAGAAAGTGAACATAATATGATTTATTTTCACAAGTATGGACTTACAAAATAAATGTTCTCACTGTAAATGCAACAAAAGAGGAAAACTACCTTGGCATTTTCCTGTGATATAACTTACATTTATTTCTGACTAAGACAAGTCTAGTCAGATTCAAGGATAAACATGAGTTAGCATAACCTTAAATCCAAACACTATCTCAGTTAAAACCATAAGACACCTAAAAATGTTCCTACGATTGTGTATGTTTCCACAAAACACATTCCTCTTGCTGATGTCAATATTGTGAGAGTTGCATTTTCAGAATCATATATGAAATGGGGGGGAAACTCAGCAAATATCAGATTAACTATAAATCAAAAAGATTTATTTATAGCTCTTTTGAATATGCTTTTTTAAAAAAAAAAAAAAAAAAAAAGCAAAACAAAGATTCCCTCTGTAATTAAAAAAAAAAAAAAAAAATTCCCACACTGGTATTTCCTCCAGGACTTCCCAGAACTCCAAGGTTTTCCTCTACCCATTATAATGGTGCCCCCCATATAAGTCTATACATTTTAAATTTTGCATAAAGTCAACCTATAATCAATCCATTTATAGGTTGATTTTTCTCCTTAAAAGAGTATTTTAAAATTTAATAAAGATTGCATGGTACATGAAGGCATTCCCAAATCCCTGCTTGTATGTATGACTGCTGCATTATGAATTTTGTGATGTCCAGGAAAAAGCGCGCCTTCACCCATGCATTCTGTCGTGCTGGAACTGACAAATGCAGGACGAGAGCTAATCTCTAACTAAAAGCTTTCTCACTTGCATTGGACTTGTATCTATCCCTTTCCTAGCAGGAATTTATAACTGTAGAGTAAGGAAATCCTAGCAGAGGAAGAGTCTTCTACATATTGAGTGACTGCACTCTCTAACATTTCAAAAAAAAAAAAAAAAAAAAAGGAAGCTTTAATGGCTTTCCCACATATTCCTGGATTTTTTCTCCAAGCATGGATCACATGTCTTCATATTTCAACATATTCACATAAGGCTCTGAAATCAAAGTAAGGCATTAGCTGCTATATTTTTAAATGCAAACATCCTTAGGTTTTCTCACCAGTAGGAATTCCCTGGTGTTCAGTAAGGATTGAGTGGTAACTAAATGAATTTTCATATTCACAGGGATTTTCTAGACTGTGTGTTCTCTGATGTTTGGCAAGGTTTGAGCTCCAGCTGAAGGATTTATTGCACACCTTACATACATAGGGCCTCTCCCCAGTATGAGTTATCTGATGTAGAATGAGGGAAAAGCTCCGATTAAAGGTTTTGTCACATCCAGTACAGGCATAGGGTTTTTCTCCGGTATGAATTTTCATATGTTGTATGAGGGATGCATGCCAAGTGAAAACTTTGCCACATTCATCACATTCATAGAGCTTCTCTCCAGCGTGAATTCTCTGATGTTTAATAAGGAAGGAGTGGCAACGGAAGGCTTTCCTACATTCAGTACACTCGTAGGGGGTTTTGGTAGTATGAATGCTCTGATGTCGGGTAAGGTGTGAAGAACGGCGAAACGCCTTCCCACATTCAATGCATTCATAAGGTTTCTCTCCAGTATGTGTAATCTGATGACGAATGAGTTCTGAACCACTGCTAAAGGCCTTCCCACATTTCCTACATAAATACTGTTTCTTTCCTATGTGAATTCGCTGATGTCGAGTGAGGTTTGAGGCACGGCTAAAGGCCTTCCCACATTCAGTACATTCATAGGGTTTCTCCCCAGTATGTGTTCTCTGGTGTTCAATGAGGAATGAAAGGTAACTGAATGTTTTACTACAGTCCTTACACTCATGGGGTTTCTTTCCAGTGTGTATCATCTGATGTTTCACAAGGTTGGAGATCTGACTAAAGGTTTTGCCACATTCCTTACATACATATGGTTTCTCTCCTGTGTGAGTCCTCTGATGTAACACCAGGGAAAAGCGCCGACTGAAAGTTTTTCCACATTCATGGCACCCATAGGGCCTCTCCACGGTACTGACACTATGCTGAGTCAGGGCTTCTTGACGAGAGACTGTCACTTGCCTGATACATCCCTGATTTCTTTGTAGCATCTCAGTAACGTCTTCGTATTTCCAGCCTCCTTTAGAACTGGAATGTTCAGGGCCTTGGCTCAGATTATTTTCCTTTATCAAATACTGGGATAAGTCATCTTCATTTATGACATTTTTTGGAGAAAACTTGCTGATCTCGCTATTTGACTCTGAAACTGAAAAAAACAAAGCAATGTTTCTTATTTTCTGTATTGAGTAAAATAAAAACCATTTGTCCTTTTTTAATGAGGATTAAAATGAAAAAAACTTATTACTTCATTGCTTTCATATTTGTCATAAGTGACTTTGAAATCTAAGCATTCTGCCCAGAAATTCAGAAGACATCAAAGAGAGGAGAGATTTAGGAGAATAGGGAGAAAGATTAAATGTAAGTGAAGGAAAAATACAACTATGAAGAAGGTAAGGACTTGGGAAGGAGAGTTGTTAGTCCTCCTCACTTCCAGTTACTTGCTGCCAGAATGATGTGAGAACAAAAACGTTATAATGCTAATAAAGCTGCAAGTGCTCCTCAAAGCCCACCAACACACCAGACTGTTCCCCCAGCGCCTTTGGAACATCTCACAGCAATTTACTCTAAATAAATGAAGGATTTCTCTGAAAACCATCTTCTATGACGCTCACTCTAACTCTTCTTTCCAAACTGATATCTGAAGCTTAAGTTTAGGATAACAGTCTTTCTATCAGATGGTTTTAATACACAAATTTAAGCCCTGATTTTCTCAAGGCTAATTTTTGTTTTGTTAATCCTCACCAGAGGATATTTTTTCCAATGACTTTTAGAGAGTGAAAGGGAAGGAGAGGGAGGAGAGAGAGGACCGAGGGGGGGCAAGGGAGCGAGAGAAACAAACATCGATGTGAGAGAGACACATTAATTAGTTGCCTCCCGTATGTGTCCCAAATGGGGACCGGGATCAAACCTGCAACCCAGATATGTGCTCTTGAATGGGAATCGAACCCAAGACCCTCTGGTGCATGGGCCAACGCTCCAATCATGAAGCACACCGGCCAGGGCACAAGGCTAAATTTTAAAGAGACTTTCAACACTTGGGGGGAAACCGAATTTTAAAATAATATGTTTTTTAAATGTATATACTTTCTTATACCCTTACTAGAGGCCCAGTGCACGAAATTCATGCACTTGGGGGGGGGGGTGTCCCTCAGCTTGGCCTGAGCCCTCTCGCAGTCCAGGAGCCCTTGGGGGATGTCTGACTGATGGGGAGTGGGCCTAAGCCAGCAGGTGGACATCCTTAGCGCTGCCACAGAGGCTCCCACCACCACCGCTGCACTCACCAGACATGAGCCCAGCTTCTGGCTGAGCGGCGCTCCCCCTGTGGGAGCACAATGACCACGAGGGGCAGCTCCTGTGTTGAGCGTCTGCCCCCTGATGGTCAGGGCACATCATAGAGACTGGTCATTCTGCTCTTCGGTCGATTTGCATATTAGCCTTTTATTATATAGGATTCTTATGAACTATGTAGGGTTAAAAGTCCATGGTGTACACAAGTTATGCTCAAATATCTCCAGAAAAAATATATACCAAATGATTTCATAAATAAAACAAAATGTTAGCAGTAGGTAAATGTAAATAAAAACATATGGGTATTCTCTCTATTAGCCTTACAACTTTTATGGAAGTTTACACATTAAAAAATTCATTTTTCACCCTAGTTAATTTGGCTCAGCGGGTAGAGCATCGGCTTGCGGACTGAAGGGTCCCAGGTTTGATTCTGGTCAAGGGCGTGTACCTTGGTTTCAGGCTCCTCCCTGGCCTGGGCTGTGGTTGGGGCATGTGCAGGACACAACCAATTGATGTGTTTCTCTCACATAGATATTTCTGTCATTTCCTGTCTTCCACTCTCTCTTAAAAAAAAAAAAAATAGTGGAAAAATATCCTCAGATGCGGATTAAAGAAAAAAAAATTCATTTTTCACCCAGCCAGCATGGTTCAGTGGTTGAGCATCAACCTATGAATCAGGAGGGCACGGTTCCATTCCAGGTGGGGGCGCTGCCTGGGTTGCAGGCTCGATCCCCCACTGCGGGGCGTGCAGGCGGCAGCCAATACATGGTTCTCTCTCATCATTGATGTTTCTCTCTCTTCCTTCCTCTCTGAAATCAATGGAAATATATTTAAAATGAAAAAAAAATTCATTTTTCTGTAACATAACTTTGACATTTATTTTGTTTGGAGGGAATGCTGTCTTATTATCACCAACTGTAAGTTTCTAGGGATAAGTAAAAAGACCTCGTATTTCTTTACTATGTATCTAAGCAATGAACTTTTTCTGATCACAGATGACACCACTGTCTATGCAATGAATCAGAAAATAGCGTACTAAAAATTTTTTGGAACTAATAAATGATTACAGCAAGATTGCACAATACAAAGTTAATGTACAAAAGTAAAAACTTTTCTATATACTAGCAATAAACAAATGGCATTTAAAAACGCATTACTATTTACCTTTAGCAACCCCAAAAATGAAAAACTGAAGTTTTAACCTAACAAAACATATATAAGATTTATATAAGGAAAACTTATTAAAACGCTGATGAAAGGTCTCAGGGAAGAAAATTCAAATGGAGAGGCAGTCTATTCATAAATAGGAAAACTCAATATTATCAAGATGCCAGTTCTTCCCAACTTGATCTATATATTCAATGAAATCCAAGTAAAAATTATTTTATTCATCTCAACAAACTGATTCTAAAGTCTATATAGAGAAGCAAATGACTATATTGATGAAGAACCAAGTCAGAAAACTGACACTACCTGACTTCAAGTCTTATTATAAAGCTACAATAATCAAGACAGTGTAGTACTGGTGAAAGGAAAGACAAACAGATCCATGGAACAGAGCAGAGAACTCAGAAGCAGACCTGCGGAATTATAGTCAGCTGTTCTTTTACGGAGGAGCAAAGGCGACACAAAAGTGCAAAAATAACCTTCAATAAATAATACTAAAAAACCCCTGCACATCCACATGCATATAAATGAATCTAGACACAAACCTTACACACTTCACTAAACTTGAAGCTCACAGACTACATGCAATGCCCACCTAAAGGTGATACCCGTTTTTTTCTTTTTCTATCTTTTTGTTCATGGGCTGCAGAGACAGACACACAGGAAGTGCACAGCAGAGGAACACTAACGCACTCACCAGAAAAGAAATCTGTTCTCACATCTCCTTTCCCCAGCCAGGGCTCTTTCCCTTGCTCCAGTAAGGAAACCACATCTGGCTTGGAAATGTTAAGACCTGCTTGCAGGAATAAAATAAATTCACAATTAGTTCTTGAATCCTCAGAAAAGAAGGACCATTAAAAGAAATGTCAAATGTAAGTATGAAAGGTGTCTGAAAAATTAGGTGGTGTCACAATGCCCGTCTTAAAAACGAGTAATAACCCCTCGACACGGACTACAGTGAGGTGAGGGCCTGAGGAAGGAGGGCTGGGGGCTGGGGGAAGGTGGGGAAGGGGGGAAACCGGAGACATCAGTAATAGTGTCAATAATAAAAATAAAGTTTAAAAAACTAAAACCCCCACAACCTAATTTAAAAAAATAGCATACCTCCCTTGGGACTATTCAGCCAGTTAATGAAGAGTCCCAACACCACCTACGGGCAAGCTCCAGCTGAAGGGAGGTGAGGGACACTCACCCAGGGAGACCAGGTGGCCGTAGTTCTCCAGCATGACGTGCCGGTAGAGGTCTCGCTGAGCAGGCCGAAGCCATGCCCACTCCTCCTGGGAGAAGTCTATGGCCACGTCTCTGAATGTCACTGGCCCCTGAAAGGACAGACAGGTGTCCAACAAGGGCAGCAAGGCTCCGCAAGGCCCTGGCCAAGGAGGGAAGTGACAGGCAGCGAGAGGGTGGGCAGTGTATGCAGGAGCAGCAATGGGACTTTGCAGAATTCTCGGTGGTCACTGAGAGTGTAACTAAGAGTAGAGCTGGTTTGCTTTGCTGTATAATGGAGAAAACGAGAAAAAAACACACCATCTGATATGTCCTGACATATTTTACAATTTTGTGAAAGGTAAAGGATTATACATGTGAGCAACCTGGATTTCCGGCTTTGGTTGTAAAAACTCGTCATGAACGAACCGTGAAGACGACTCCTTTGTGTGTAGTAGTCAATGGCTAGTGTCCTTAATACCAGCCCCTTCTGACAGGATTTGGCAAGAATTTCCTTCTTATAACAATGGCTATGGCAGGCGGCGGCGGCGCCCTAGGAGTGCGGCGCGGACTCTCCGGCTTACACACCCCTCCGGCTCCTGAAGGAACGGCTGTGAGACTCAGAGAGCAAGGAGGGTGCGCCCCGATACCAGGCCTCCCCAGGCGGACGGCAGGGCCTCCCAGCAGGACCGGGGCTTTCGCCCTCAGGGTTGGACGGAATAAGAAGGCGCTGGTTGGGCACCACCCGAGTGGCCCATGTGACCGTCAGGCATGAAAAGGGACGTCAAAAGGTCCCACACCGGCAGCCCCAAATGTGTGGAGCATGACAGGTCATACTTGGCACTGAGCAAGATTATTTTCCGTGAGAAGGATGAGCGAGCCACAGAGAAAGAAGCAGCTCCTAGAGTAAACAGAGGGACTGGCAACTCAGGTGAAGGTGGGCGCCCCGGCAAAACCCTGGATTTGGACACAAGGATGACAAGAAGTGAGGGGCAGTGGGACTATACACAGAGGGACTAGCGGGATGGCTGGCCTTGTTCACCTGGGAAGTATGACTGCCAGCCAGCCACCTGCCACCGAAACAGCCAGTGCTCCGCGCTCCGTACGCTGGGTGTGGTGTCTGAAAAGTGAGCTCCGGGTTCAGAGCTTCCACCTCGCTCAGGCCGGGAGCGGGTCACGCATGCGCATGCCCAGGAGCGGCCGCTAACCAGGTGCCAACCGGACCCCAGCTTCCGGCTTAGCGGCCGCCCGGGGGTGGCCCTCTGAGAGCAGATACAGATGCTGCACGTGGACGCTCCGTGTAAACATGGTGAACAGACGAGTGAGAGGCCGCTGGGACCAGACACACAGGATCCAGCACTTTATGGAGCGAGGAGGCACCAGCACAGCTGGCTGCCAGTCCAACCCCCGAACACACCTGCCCACGCGGCCTGGCTTCCCGTCCACCCGCCCGCACCTCCTACGGCCCAGGCCCAGGAGAGGAGCGGGGGCGGGAGCCCCTCAGGCCTGAAGTCACCGCGTCCCTCGGGAGAAGAGAGGAGGCGCCGCTTACCTGAGACATGGCTCCTGCGGGCCGGGCGCCAGGAACCGGGTCCCGCCTCAGGGGGTTCCCGTCGCTCCACATCCACCCGCCTCGTCACACGGGGGCTCGGACCACTGCAGCCGGGGCGCCCGCCAGGGCCCCCCTCAGGCCAGGAGTCCAGCCTGACCTGCACCCCTACACCTGCTCCTTTGCCGGGGCCACAGGACTGCCTTTCCTCTGCGATTCCGGCAGCGTGGGCTCCGGGCTCCAGACGGTTAGGGCCCTGGCGGCAGGCGGGGTGATCCCGGCGAAGGCGGGTTGGGCGCCTTCCCCTACCTACGGCCCAAGAAGCCCAGACCCCACCGGGCGTCCTGGAGTCCAAACGGCGCCTTCCGGAACCCCCGGACCAGGCCGCGGGCCCCGACAACTGCACTTCCCAGGATCCACCGCTGCCTCAGCGCGCGTGGGAGGAAGGCTCCCTGTCACACACTACAACTCCCACAACCGCCCAAGTGCGGAGAGAAACAACGGGCCTCAGACAACTACACTTCCCAAGACACACCGCGGTCTCAGCGACCTGTGGAAAGAAGGATCCCCGTTATACACTACAACTCCCAGAACGCCCCACGTCCTCAGAGAACTACACTTCCCAGGACACACCGCGGCCCCAACGCTCCGTTGAAGTCAGACATCCCATCACGCACTACCGCTCACAGAACTCCCCACGCCAGCAGAGACAAAAACTGGGAGCCTCAGACAATTGCACTTTACGATTCACTGCGCCTTGGCCCGCTTCAAGAAAAAAAGGCTCTCGGTCACCCACAAAAAGACCCGGAACGAAGCAGAGTCTGAGACGTCAGTCTCCAGACGACTACATTTCCCACGATACACAGCGGCCTCAGCGCAGGGGAGTATGGCACCTCCAGACAAAGGCCATTGTCCTCGGGCAACTACAACTCCCATAACGCTGCGAGGCCCCAGCATCCTGAGCGGCAAAGCGCCACCTTCACATAACTACAATTCCCAGAACCCACTGCAGTCCCAGTGCTATGATTTCCAGCTTCATGCAACTATACTGTGGCCTGAACGCATGTCCTAACTACGAAAACAATCTGGAAAAAAACGACTTTATTGTGTTGCTTCACTCTATTTTCACCCCAAATGGAATGACTCCCAAAAGGGTGAATTTGCTTTACAAAAGAGTGAGCTTGCTTTGCAGAGGGGTTAATTTCACGTGGAAAACCTGTAACTGGCATTCCTCCCCTGGGAGGACTGGTATTCCCAGAGACCCTCTTGGCCTAGCTACCAGGGGCTGGAAGCGACAGGTCCCCTCTCCCCCCCCCCCCCCCCCCCCCCCCCCCAAAGATCTGAGGTGCGGAAGAACAGGTGATTCTGGGGGCCACGGTTTGGAATCAGTGATGACCTATCACCATTAACAGTGACCCTCCAGCGACTTGTGCGCCTGATCCCCAATGGCGACAAACTTCATTGACAGAGAACAGAGCAAGTTTCCTATTTCATTATAAGCTACAGATATCACATGGAAACGTGTTCAGGGACCAGAGGTAAGAAAAGGAGCTGCTGTCTTTGAGGGCGTGTTTGGCACATGAGGATGAGGCAGGGTTGCTGTTATACCACAGGGCAGAGAGGAATATGGGTGGGTTTAGTGGATCCACTCAGGTGCTTCTTGGCTTCCTCGCCCAGTGGTGATAGTAAACGGCTAAATCAAGTCGGGAATGAGGAGGGCATAGTGACTAGGACTCAGTAATGAGAATCGGGCTCATGCCACCAAGCGGGACAATCACTTATTTTCCAATCACTTCACAGCCAACGAACCTCAATAAACACCCTGCCCCCTACATTTTAGCACATTATCTGCTTCCAGAGAACCCATTTATGACTTGTATGAAGAATATTTGTATTATAAGAAACACAACTTGAACCACCTGAAGCAAACATGGCGTTTTATTAGGAGGATATCTGTGATATCTCACAGGAGAACCCAGCGATCAAGGCAAGAATGGGCAGAGAAGAATGCATATCAGGACAAGAACCAGACTCTGGGACTCAGTCAGCACTGTCCCTTGCCTTTGCTTCCACAGTGGCTTAATTTTCCTCTCATTGCAGATTATAATTCTCCATGTGGTAGAAAACATAGCTACGATAAGCAATCACATTTATATATAAAGCTTCAGTTGCTAAAATTATATAGACAGGATTGTTCCAGCTTTCTAATGGGAAAGATAAAACATGCGATGATTATATCACAGTGACAAATACATATATAGGCTCATAAAGCGTGGAGAGGCATTAATAAGAAACAAGGGAATTTCAGTGGCAGATTTGCAAAAAGCATCTGAGAATATAATTCCAAGGAACTGCAAGTAGTTCAAGGAGGCCAAAAAATAGTAAGAGGAGAGGTAAAGTATTCAGAAATTATGGATAGGCATGTATTTGTCTCATGGGGATAGACCATATTTCACTTTCGTAAGTCCACAATTAGCTATTCAACATTTCTGCACAAGTGTAATCACAATTATATCTTAAAATAACTATGTATGAGTGTGAAAATAGACTAAAAAAGAATGAAAGCAAGGTGCAAGAAATATGCATACAGTTGCAAGGGTCATGGTTGCGTTAATCAACACTTAGGTCATGACTAGTTAATGAACATCTGAAAGCTTGGTACCATATTTTGTTTTTTGTAGCACTGTTCTGTATTTGTAAACCAACAAGCTCAATGAAATTGACAAACTGGGTATATATTGCTGGGATAAATGACATAACACATTACTGTGGTCCCAAGCATAGATATTAAATGACTACTGACCTACATTCTGCTTTTTAATACAGATAAATCTAGTATTGTGAGTTTATTGATCCTCAATAAACATCCTGCTCCCCAAATTTCATCACATTATCTGTCAGAAAATATCAGGAACATATGGATCCACAGAGATAACTGTCAGAAGAGTCACGGCACACAAAGGGAAGCTGAAGAGAAAGCACTACAACAGACAAAATTCATAGACTAGACTTCCAACAGGTCCATTCACTAAAAGGAAGGCAACAGAAGTTGTCCAATGTAGAATTGTCTCCAGGTCAGTGGAACAACCTAGGTAGTAAAAGAGGAATGATTAAGCCTGTTGCTCAATGGTTAGAGTGTCGGCTTTCAAACGGAGGGGTCTTGGGTCTGATTCCCAATCAAGGGGACATATCTGGGTTGCAGGTTCAACCCTGACCCTGTTCAGGGAGAATGTGGGAAACAACTAATGGATGTATCTCCCTAACATAGATATTTCTCTATCTCTCCCCTCCCTCCTTCCACTTTCTTAAAAAAAAAAAAAAAAGCAATGCAAAAAAATATCCTCAGATTAGGATTAATACACACACAACAGGAATGATGCTCCCTGTTTTGTCTCAACAATTCTGTCTCAGTGTGACGTACTGTGCTCCACGAAACTGCACGCAAGCCACTCTAAAGCCGCCTTCTGCTTAGTCCCGAGCAGGTAGCTCAGCTGGTTGGAGCGCCGTCGCGACAGGCCAAGGTTGCAGCTTTGATCTCTGCTAGGGGCACGTGTAACAACCAGTGAATGCACAAGTAACAAACAACAAATTGGTTTTTCCCTTTCTCTTCCTCCTTCTAAAATCAATCGATCACAATTTTTTTAAAAAACTAAGAAAATAAAAATACATCAATCTCTCTTTCCCTTCATCTCCAAAAACAAAAATTTTGGAAAATTAATTTTATAACATTTTCTGAAATACCTAAAATAGCAACTCACAGAATCCATGTTCCACCATAATAAATTAAAATGCAAACTGTACTTAGTTTACAAAGCACTTTACATATATTTTATACATGGAGGCATCACAAAAAAAATGATAATAAAGATTTTGTACAGCTCTACTATCACTTGGTTTGAATGCTGAGTAAAATGGTCACACACCTTCCTTTTGCTCACTCAGCATATCATGAGTCACTATTGAAATTCTGTGGTAGTGCCTTTGAACACTTATAAACCGGATTTTTTTATATAAACTGACTCAGACTCTGAGGACGCAGAAGACTTTATATAAAACGTTGGCTTCTGATACTGAAGTGAGGTCAGTAACAACAGACTCCTGTTATACACCAACAAACCATAGGGAAAAGAGACGTGGTTTCATTATTGTTGAGCAATAAGGCATATTATGTTAATTAGTTACCATTTCTGTAGTATCAGCAAGACAGAAAAGCACTGGCATGTGGTGTCTTGACAGACATCCGCGGCCCTACAAGGCATGTGCATCTCGTGCTCCTAATTACATGGTCATATGCACTGACCATACAAAACACCTTATGTGACAAAAAAACCCACAAATACACTAAGAAATTCCTAACTTAGAATTTTCAATTATTCAGTTTTCTCATGTATCTTCATACTTCTGAGTGAAAACCTGTGAACCACTTAGAATTGGGGATTTTTGGTACTCATGTCTATAAAAAGTATATGGCTTCCCTTTATAGCATTATTTCTAGGGGCACACATTGCCAATGTCTTTAAATTGTTAGGTTATCCACAATATGAATTCTCCAAAATACAATATGGTTACATTACTTGCTGAAGACTGTTCCATATTTCCTATTTTCACAAACTTCATTTCTTACAGCAATTTCTTACGTACACTGAGCTGTAATTTTTTGATGAAAAGATTACCTCAAATGCACCATTCGTTTACTCACTGGACTAGGATTTAACCCCAGTGGCAATGTTTCTAACAGGTAATGAAATTTACACTCTAGAAGGCTTTCTATTATTCATAGTATTCCCCTTTGCTGTTCATTTTGTACTGTATTTTGTTTCACTATAATTTGAAAGGTTTTTAAAACACACTGCATTTCATAGGCTCATTCCACTCTATGACTTCTGATCTATAAAACTGTTAAATCTGCTGAAACTTTCCCTATATAACCTCAATTACAACTCCTGCCTCCCCCCCGCCCAAAGAGTACTCAAATATATAATGATATGTGAGCATTATCTGATTTACCATACTGCATTTCCTGAAGTACAGTAACGCCAGGTCTCTGTCAAAGACATATGTTAACTTCATGTCTATGACTTCTTTATGGTATGGGTTCTGTGATGGTTAATGAGCTGTGCCTTTTGGGAGAAGGCTTTCCCACAGTCATGGCATTGATAAGGTTTCTCTCCGGTATGAATTCTCTGGTGATTAACCAGCTGTGACTTCTGAGAGAACGCCTTCCTACACTCAGTGCACCCGTAGGGTCTCTCTCCTGTATGTGTCCTCTGATGCGGTATCAGGTGTGACTTCCGAGAGAAGGCTTTGCCACATTCATTGCATTCAAACGGTTTCTCTCCTGTATGTATTCTGTGATGATTGAGGAGACTTGATTTCTCCCTGAAGGCTTTTTGACATTCACTGCATTCATATGGTTTTTCTCCTGTGTGAGTTCTCTGGTGTCTAATTAGCTCTGACTTCTCAAAGAAAGCTTTCTGACAAAGACTGCATTCATAGGGTTTCTCTCCTGTGTGAATTCTCTGGTGAGTATTCAGCTGTGATTTCTGGGCAAAGGCTTTTTCGCAGTCCCTGCATTCATAGGGTTTTTCTCCCGTGTGGGTTCTCCAATGAGTTGCAAGACTTGACTTCTCTCCAAAGGCTTTCCCACATTCGGTGCATTCATAGGGTTTCTCCCCTGTGTGTGTCCTCTGATGTGATATGAGATGTGACTTCTGACAAAAGGCTTTCCCACAGTCACTGCACATGTAGGGTTTTTCTCCTGTATGAATTCTCTGGTGATTAGTGAGGCTTAATTTTTCACTGAAAGCTTTCCCACATTCACTGCATTCATAGGGCTTTTCTCCCGTGTGAGTTCTCTGATGTCGAACCAGCTGGGATTTCCTGCTGAAGGCCCTCCCACATTTAACGCATACGAAGGGTTTCTCTCCCGTGTGTGTCATCTGATGTGATATCAGATGTGACTTCTGGGAGAAAGCTTTTCCACACTGAATGCACCCATGAGGTTTCTCTCCTGTGTGGGTTCTTTGATGATTAATGAGACTCGACCTCTCTCGGAATGCTTTCTGACATTCACTGCATTCATAGGGCTTCTCTCCAGTATGAACTGTCTGATGTCTAATGAGCTCTGATTTCTCAAAGAAGGCTTTTCTACAATCACTACACCCATAGGGTTTCGTTCCCGTATGAATCCTGTGATGTGTAACGAGTTGTGACTTTCTGCTAAAAGCTTTCCTACATTCTCTGCATTCAAAAGGTTTCTCTCCTGTATGAATTCTCTGATGATTAATAAGATTGGACTTCTCACTAAAGGCCCTCCCACATTCATGGCATACATAGGGTTTTTCTCCTGTGTGTGTTCTCCAATGTGATATCAGATGTGACTTCCGGGAGAAGGCTTTCCCACATTCCCCACATTCATATGGTTTCTCTCCTGTATGCGTCCTCTGATGGGATGTGAGTTGTGACTTTTGGGAGAAGGCTTTCCCACACTGGCTACAATTATAAGGTTTCTCTCCGGTATGAGTTCTGTGATGTGTAATGAACTGTGACTTCTGCAGAAAGGTTTTGTCAGATTTACCACAGCCGATGGCTATCTCTCTCATATGTCTGCTCTGGTGCTTCATGAGACTGGATTTCTTACTGAAGCGTTTCCTACATTCACTGCATTCATAAAGTTTCTCGCCTAAACGATTTCTGTGATAGATGATAATCTGTGACTTCCTATAGCTAACATTATCATATTCATCACACTCATAGTGTTTTAACCAAGCATCAGTTTCCTCAGGCTTGGTATGGAGAAACAATTTATCAAATGCATTTAAGTCATCTCGTTCTATTTTTCCATAATCAGCTTTTGGAAGAAGTAAATCTAAACGACGTTTTAAAGTTAATCCATCTACATCACCTTCATTGTTTGATTTCCTTAAAGGAACAAAGTTTATGCTCTGATTGAAATTTTTTCCAAATGCATCACATTCATAATCTTGTTTCGTATTTTTAGGCTTCCCTTGGTTATCCTGGTTCCACATCATGTGACTATTTACTTGAAAGTCTTGTTCTATAAAGAAAAATGACATTGGTTATAACCCGACCAGCGTGGTTCAGTGTTTGAGCAGAGACTATTAACTAGGAGGTCACGGTTCAAGTGTGGGGCATGCAGAAGGCAGCCAATTGATGATTCTCTCTCATCACTGATGCTCCTATCTTTCTCTCTCTTCCTCTCAAATAAATAAAAACATATTTTTTTTAAAGGGAGGAAAAGAACAAACTCTTTGGGAGGAATAATGACTGTTCTCTCATACAGTAAGACTGAACAGAGAGGGCTTTCACTGGGTATTTCTCTGGGCAAAAGACACACCCAAAAAGAGGAAAAAGAGAAAAACTCTTACATGTACAAAATAGAGGTTTCATCAACCAGAGGAGAAGGGGGGACATAAGGAGAGTAACATGCCGGAGGCAGAAAACCAAACAGAAAGTCAAAGACCAAGATGTGACAGCTGGGAGATGACATCATGACCCCGGAACCATTTCACTTCAGCCAAAAGCAAGAAGCCACATGTAAAAAGAGCCCGTTCTTGATAGCTGGTGTCAAAGGTTTAGGGGATTTGAAAGGAGCACTCCACAGCACATGTCAAAGATGCCACCCCCACAATCAGCTGAGATTGTACTTGTACCGTCTCCCATCTGCCTGGTTCTTATACACTCACCTGGAGGGTCTGAACTTGGACCTTCTCCATCTTCTATCCATGGTGCTTCTCCTCGTTCCAACTTGAAAATGACATCAGGTTTCATAAATTCATACCCTATTCAAGGGAAATCACAGAGGTTTTGGCCTGAATGCTTGGGCTTTATGGCCCCTGAGGAATGGGCACGGTTTGGCATCAGAATAGACTCAGTTAAGCTAACCATTTGTATATCAACAGAGTAAGTAATTCTCAAAGAAATGGTAATGGTCTCCCTGGTGGCTAAGAGGGTCTAAGAATCGTTGACTTACTTTTATGATTCCTGTCCAAAGCCATTAAGCAATTCAGAGGCTTGAAGCCAGTGAGCCTGAGCTCAGTGAAATCCAGGCTCTTTCGTTTCCCAGCTGTGAGTCCTTTAGAAAGTCACTTACTTAACCTTCCTTTCTTCAATGGCCTCATTAGAAAACAAAGGAGAATAATCATTCCTGTCCCACAGGGTTAGCCTAATGATTGCGGAGTCGACAACGAACAGTATGTGGAACACAGTGAGTTGTCTACGTTAGGTGCTACCAGTACCACTGCGGCCATTATTGAGTCTCAGAGGCTGCACAATGACAGACTTCATTATTGAAGTCTTCATCCAAATACTTTCCCTGGGGTCATAGTCCAAGGAACTTTGGACTTCTATATTTAGATCCAAAATCATTAGCAATTTCAGAAGTCCTACAACTCTCAGCAACGAAAAAAGCAAAAGCCAAGTATTGGGCACCATGAGGTCCCCTGGGAAGCTTCCTTACCCAGTGTCACCAGGCTGCTGTAGTTCTCCAACATGACATCCTTGTATAAGTCCTTCTGACAGGGGTCCAGCAGCTGCCACTCCTTCTGGGTGAAGTCCACAGATAAATGTTCAAATGAGATTGACTCCTGTAAAAGCACAATCCTGGTGAAACTGAATCAGTTACCACTCCACGATGCAGAACAGAAGTACTGGAGCTCGAGAACATAATTCTTAGCCTAGCAAGTCCTAGACAATGCCGACTGTGCCCCTACCTTTGTATCATATTGTGAGATAAAATGCCATTATTAATTCTTCCATCCTTCTGTTTATGTAACACACAAGAATCGGACCACACAACTTTAAATCTTCTGAACCAATAAAATACCTAACCTCAAATTTGGTACCAGAAGAGGTGCTGGCAAAATAAAAACGATAAAACTTGTCATATTCTGTCACATTAAAATCTATTGTTTTATCTTGTTTGAGTGACTCATTTACCCTTGATGATTTTAAAACATATGCATTGGGCATGTGAAACGTATTGGTCCCCTGAGTTAAAATCTTAATAAACACAAAAAAGGCTTTACCAGTTAATTCTGTAAACATTTAATGCAGTAATGATTCTGATTTTACTAAACTCATACAGCATATTAAAGCAAGAATTTAACCCTAAACTTTTTGATACCAGTATAATCTTGGTAACAAGACCCAATAAGGATACTGCAAGAAAGGAAAAGCAAAAGCCAGCCCACACAAAAACACTGATGAAAATCCTAAACATATTACCAAACTATATTGAGCAATATATAAAGAACAAAATATATTAAGACCAAGTTGGTTTACCATTTCTAAAAAAGTCAATGATATCAACTACCTTAGTAGAGTAAGAAAAAATATATGATCACCTCAAGAGATGCAAAGTATATCTGAAAATGGAAGCATGCAAATCACAGGAACTGCAAATATAGATACACCTAACACAGAGTTTTTAAAAGCACATTTAAATTTTTCAAAAAGAAGGTCTAGATTTCATAAGGAATAAATAGTATGAAAATGAATAAACAGATTAAATAAACAAAATTAATATACCAAAACTTGAAAAATAATTAACATTTATTTGTTATAAAAAGTCTTGACAGCCCTAATCAGTTTGGCTCAATGGATAGAGTGTTGGCCTGTGGACTGAAGAATCCAAGGTTCAATTCTGGTCAAGGGCACAGGCCCGGGTTGTGGGCTGGAGCCTCAGTGGGGGGTGTGCAGGAGGCAGCCAATCAATGATTCTCTCTCATCATTGATGTTTCTATCTCTCTCCCCCTCTGCCTTCCTCTCCGAAATCAATTAAAAAAATTTTGAAAATAAATAAATGCATTTTATGTTACTATTTTATCTTAATTGCAGGTGGGGTTAGGGGGGATATACAAACAGCCTTGATATATCTTGCCAAGCTAGAAAGCAGTAATCCAGTCAATAAAGAAAAAAATGATAGAAGCGGGATGTTATCGTTTTGCAACGCCTAATAAAATACTCCATCTAGGCCAGCGGTTCTCAACCTGTGGGTCGCGATCATCGGAAAACACATATAGCATATCAGATATTTACATTATGATTCACAACAGTAGCAACATTACAGTTATGAAGTAGCAACGAAAATAATTTTATGGTTGGGGGTCACCACAACAATACTTCTAATCTCCTGGAAAAATAACCAGGAATAAACAATCCACTCACCTGTATTAAAGGGTATTAGGAAGGTTGTGAACCACTGCCTTAGATGGAATTATTGGGACAAACCAAGATTTAAAAGAAGCATGATAAACAAAAATATCATTTTGATGCATAAAAACACACTTTCACTTTCCTCACTGTAACTGCAATGATGTCACAAAGAAACAGGTAAGTGACAGGAGAAAACACAAGGTGAAAGGACAGAGATGAGTCTGCGCCTGCACACACAACCAGACTACAGGCTTTCAGGATGAAGACTCAGAAAGACACTGTACAGAAAAGCAGGAAAACGGCTATGCAATCGGGTCCTGGCTCCCTCTGAGGGGAGAAGTTTGACGGACAGGGCACCCCGAGGCTGTCCTTGGTCAGAGGGGAGTGTGGCACGGAGCGAGGTCACGGGTCTTCTCTGTCAGGAGGGAGACGTTATGACCTGAACGGGAATTTCATGTGTACTCAGCTAATCATTCATTAAACTGTACTTTTTACCTTTTGTTTACTTTTCTGCATATTTTTTCTTTTAATTTCATTCTGCATGTGTTTCTGCTTCACAATTAAAGAGGTAAATAAATAATTATAGTCACACTCTGTGGAAAATTGTGAAAAATGGCCATAAGACACGTGTGTTTATTACAATGTTTCTCTTGAGGACATTACTCCCCTATATCATTTATTAAAAGACTTCATCAACCAGTGAGCATATAAATATTTACTTTATATGAAGAATTAACTTGCTTTTCTCTTTGGACAATACAACTCACATAAGTGTTCGTATTTATTTAGTACATCTGCCCAAGACATTGAGAACCAACAGAGCAGCTCATATTCAGTAATTATGGCCTATAACAACGAAAACCTTAAGAGTATCACAAGGGCCTATAGTTAACGTATTACTGCTCCAATTTTGTTCCAGTCCAGATTTTTCTTCTGAAGCTATTTGCCCCTAATTCCTTAACTGTTTCTCTTTTTCTTTTTCACTGGAAAACTTACATACTTCTAATCTCCTGGAAAAATAACCAGGAATAAACAATCCACTCACCTGTGACGCGGTCATTTTCTGTTTCCCGTGTGAGGTGATCAGCAAGTCCGAGCTCTTTCTATGCCTCGCTTCCTCTGCTCGTGCCCCAGAGCTCTGGTGTGAGGTCGTGCTGGGTCTCGGACGCTGGGGATGGGTTCTTGGCTCCAGGAACTCCTTTCTTATCTTGCAAGGGGAGGCTCATGTGTGAGAAACCAGGACCTATGGACTTAGGGACAAATGCACTTCAACTGGTATAGTCACACTGCACCTCAAATGTTCTCTTGCTACGAACTAGGAATTCATGACCATCTAAGGCCAGAGAGTGTTTCCTATACAACTGAAACAGGGTTACTGGGCAGGAGTGGGACTGGTGGGAAAGAACGGCAGAAGTCTATGTCTCCGCAGGCAGATGAAGTAATATCAGAGCCCTGGCTGGTGTTTCCCTGTGGTTAGAGCATCGGTCCATACACGGAAGGGTCGAGGGTTCGATTTCCAGTCCAGGGCAAGTGCCTGGGTAGCAGGTTCGATCCCCGGCCCAGCAGGGGGGGCATATGTGGGAAGTAACCAACTGGTGTGCCTCTTTCACATCGATGCCTCTCTCTCTCTCTCTCTCTCTCTCACTCTCTCTCTCTCTCTCTCTCTCTCTCCCCCTCCCTCCCTTCCACTCTCAAAAATCAATGCAGAAAATATATCCTCGAGTAAACATTAACAAACCAAAACAAAATACACCAGAAATAAAGTAGGTCTGAGATCCATTCCATGGTCACTGTGGAAAGTGAAGTGTGAGTCACTAAGAGGAGTGGTGGCCGGGGCCCGAGTTGCAGCTCAGTCAGTTGGACCATCATCCCACATACCAGGTCGTGGTGGGTTCAATTCCCGGTCAGGGCACATGCCCAGGTTGCAGGTTGGATCCCTGGTTGTGGCGTGTACCGGAGGCAACCGATTGATGTTTCTGTCCTGCATTGATGCTCCTTTCTCTCTCCCCTCTTCTTTTAAAAAAAATCAATAAAAAGTTAAAAAAAAAATCCACAAATTTTAAAAAGAAGCTTTAAGAGATGCTGTAAAGATACTCTACTTTAGGCAGATAGAATCTTAGAAAGCTTATTGCAGAGAATATACTGAACTGAAAATTTCAGGTGAACAGGGCATGATAAGCCATCAGTATGGTAGTTGGAAAATATTTCTGATGCAATTTAGGTTTGCTACTCAGAACAATGAAAACTCACCCTTATTTTACTTTAATTTAAAAAATGTTTTTGGCCATAGCTGGTTTTTCTCAGTGGTTAGGACGTCGGCCTGTGGACCGAAGGGTCGCAGGTTTGATTCTGGTCAAGGGCACATTGTCCAAGATGTGGGCTCGATCCCCGGTAAGGAGCATGCAGGAGGCAGCTGATCAATGATTCTCTCTCATCACTGATGTTTCCATCTCTCTCTCCCTCTCTGAAATCAATTTTTAAAAAATGTTTTTGGAAGTTGGCCCTTGTGGGAGAAGTTCCCCCTGAATTCTTCTATTTGGCTCTCACATGTCCCCTCAGCAAATGGAAACCTAAGCCCTTCATTGTTGGGTTTTGTTTTGTTTTTACCTTGGCAGTTTCCTGGATAACATGACAGCTCTCAGTGGCAGCTCTCACATTTATCTTCAGAAGGAAGCGGCCGCCTTCACCATCATCCTGCAGTTCCACCCAGCACCAAGGTCTGAAGGAATTTCAGAGGAAAGGCACAGAATCAGTAAAAGTAACATTTACACTTACACGTCAGTGCCTTATGCACCGTATTGCCTTTTTCACTGCACTCAGCACACAGGTTCATCAACGTGCCCAACATCAATGACATGCCTAGGAAGTGGCAGGTCTGGGCCCTTGGTCCCCTGCATCCAGCCGAGAGCAGTGACCACAGCGACAGTGGAGGGGAGGGAGGACCAAGGCCCAGAGTCCTGCTTATGTTCCTCGTGTGGGTGCGACACAGTCCCGTCCAGAAAAGACAGCAAGGGGCAGAATAAGCAAAAAAAGACAGAGCTGCTCTCTTTTTTCCTGAGGACACGCCCGACTCTACTCTCTCATCCCTCAAGGCACAAATCGCTTTCCTTTCTCGAAGTTTTAAGGGCCCTTTTGTTACTTCTGTAACTTTCTATAAACTTTCCCTTACTAAAATAAAATAAAATAGCCCAGTTGAAAAACCCCCAGGTTAATTTAAACTTACCACTTGGGTCAAAATATTTCAAGTTACGAAAAGACATTCATGATATATTGTAGTGGTTTTAAGCAGCATATACAGCAGAGTCCCAATTTTGTGTTTTTAAAGGAAATATAAATAAGAAGTACTAAAAACATATACACACTAATGGCTAAAAGAAATGGACCAAAATATTAGCAGTGACTATCTCCTGTTGAAGGAATAATGATTTTCATTTGAAACTGTTTCTCAAGATGCTCAAAACTGACTACGGTGGACACATTTTAAATTTACAATGAAGTATACTTTTTTTAACGTTAGTCCTTAAACCAAAAAATAAACAAGAGACAAGCAGAGCAGTTTCAGTTTAGCATTACATGACTGAAACAAAGCAAGCAGCAAATACTTAGAAAGTATGTTTTAATGACAGCAAAAAGCATGGAAACTCGGGGGGGGGGGGGGGTGGTGTCATTTCTTTCCACTCCCTCATTTTCATAGGAAAACCGTTAGACCCAGAAATCGTCAGTGGAGAGTTAAGGACTTCAGGCCAATGATGACGTTCCTGCCACACCAGCAGCTGTCGTGTGTGTGTGTGTGTGTGTGTGTGTGTGTGTGTGTGTGTGTTTTCGGGGAATGCGGAGGGGGGTGTCGTTTGCCTTTTCTTTTCTTTCTTTTTTTATTTTAGGACAGAAACGCTTTTAAAAACTGTTGATTAATGTCAAGCTGAGCTGGGTGAGGTCAGGTTGGAGGGGGATAGCAATGGAGTCACCCTTAGCACGGGACTACCCCTGGGTATCCGGGCACTCGCACCATCAGCTCTTTCTGTTGGGCCAAAGAGCCCAGCCCTTCCTTCAACAGGACCGGGCCTGGGCTCCCGGCCCAACTCGTCCAGGGATGCCACGTGCGGGAGGCGCCAATTTAAAAAATCGGCCTGAAAGTCCAAAAGAAATAAGAACCCGGGGGGCAAGGGGTGAAGCCTCGGGGGACAGGGCCCTTCTCTCCCGCACTCGGAGCCCCGCCAGGACACCTCCGAGAGCCTGCGACCTGTGCGCGCAGGCCCGGACCTGACCCCGGCACCCCGCCATCCGGCCAGGCCGCGCGGTCCGGCCGCACCCCACTGGACACCCCAGACTCACTGCCGGCATAAGCGCCACGCCTACCGGCCTCCAAGACTGCAGCCCAGCGACCCCCAGATCTCCCACCCGGGGCTCCCCCACCCCGGGACCCCACACGCCTCAGCCGCCAACCCAAGGACCGAACCCGCAACAACGCCAACACCGACTCCCCAAGTCTCTGACCTCGGACACGCCGGCCCCGGAACCACGTGACCCGATCGCCGCACCCAGGCTCGCCGCACCCCCCGCCCCGGGCCAGCACAGCACCTCCAGCCCGTGGGCCTCGGTGCAACCCCCGCGCATCCGCGGGATCGGGACCGGCTGCAGCGGGAGGGTGTTCGCGCGCACTCGCCTCTCACGCGGCGCCGAAGGACAAAGAAAAGGGGCGCTACCTGCAAGCGTCGGTGGCCATGGGAACGCGCGTGCACGTACCCGAGAAGAAGGCACCTTCGGACTACATTTCCCAGAAGGCCCGGCGGCCCGGCGTCCTAGCAGCGCTGGTTGCCTGGAGACGCGGAAGGGCGGCGAGCTCCGGGAGTACGCTTTCGGGAGGGACTTAAAGGCTAGGATTTTAAAAGATTAGGAATTGAAACCGAAAAGTAGGTTTCTTAAAAAAGACAATTGGCTTAAGCATTCCACTGAGGGAAACGGAATTAAAAAAAAAAAATTGTGGAAAGCAGAGAGGAGTTAATCAGTGGGAGAAGGTAAAGCCGATCCTTCATTCCAATGCTGTGGCGGAAAGTGGTAAATATATTAGTAACTATTCCCGTAAAGAGAGAAAGGGTAGGAGGAAGAAAGCATAAATAACCAGACACAGCAAACTGAATGAGAATCCTCTCGGTGCTAATAAATTTGAAAAACTTTAATTGCGCAAATAGACATATCAAATTTGACCCAATAAATGAGAAAAACTAATCATGGATGAAAACGAAGACAATTTCAGAAATTCTCTGTCGAAAAGCATCAGTCATGGAACCCTGACGAGTAGCTCGGTTAGAGTGTGGTCCTTATTCGCCAAGGTTTCTCTCCCTAAAAATCAATAAATTTTATAAGTAAATAAAAATACAGAGAAAAGAAAGAAAAGCATCAGTCATTGAGTTTCTGGTGAATTCTTTCAGACATCCAGGAGAGAATTATTATATTTAAATAGTTCCTGGGGAATTAGGAGGAACCTTTTATATTTATCAAATAGCATAGGACACCAAAATCAACAAATGTAATGATTTAAAAAGGAAGCATAGACAAAACTTAATTACTACTATCCACGCAAAAATACTGAGAAATTATTAACAGAAGAAGCTGGCAATACCTTACAAAAATATGCTATAACCAAGTGGGTTCTATTCTAGAAACACAAAGATGATCTGGCTACCCATTAATATTACCTTATCAATAAGTCAAAGGAAAAATACAATCACTTCAATAAGATTAAAATAAAAATTTTAATTTAAATGTGCATTCCAGCCCAGCCAGTGTTGTTCAGTAGATGAGCACCTGAGCATATCTTTCCATTTTTCTTTTCAGTTCCTTTATGAACTTTAATAGCATTTTAACATTTTATTAATAAATTCTCAGTTTATGCCATTTTTAAAATATTTATTCCTGGATCTGATTTTAAATTCAACATTACATAAGACGTATTATTCCTAAGTGTTTTATCATGCCTGTTGATATTATGGTCAGTTTTTCCCCCTCCCCTTCTGTATTTTCTTATTGGCTGTTGTGCTATTAACTGATTGTGTACCTCCACAATTCATATATTGAAACCCTGACCACCAGGGTGGCTCTATTTGAAGACGGGGCATTTAAGAAAATTAGGGTTGCATGTGGTCATAAGGTTGGGGCCCTGACCCCTTAGGATTGCTGTCCTCATAAGAAGGGAAACCAGGGCGCTCTCTCTACACACACCCCAGGAAAGGCCATGTGAAGACGGGAGAAGGTGGCTGTCTGCAGGCCGGGAAGAGAGCTTTCACCAGAAACTGGCCCTGCTGAGATCTGGGTCTTGGACTTCTAGCCTCCAGAACTGTGAGAATATAAATTAATTTCTGTGTTTAAGGCAAGCAGTGTGTGGTATTTTGTTACAGCAGCCAGAGAAGACTAAGACAGATGGCATATAGGAAAATATTGATTTGTACCTAGCAACATTACTAAAATCACTTTTCAGATCTTGCCTCTAATAACAATAATTCTTGCCCTAGCTGCTTTGGCTCAGTGGATAGAGCATTGGCCTGCAGACTGAGGAGTCCTGGGTTCGATTCTGTTCAAGAGCACATGCCTGGGTTTCCGACTGGATCCCCAGTAGGGGGCGTGCAGGAGACAGCCAATCAATGATTCTCTCTCATCACTGATGTTTCTGTATCGCTCTCCCTTCCCTTCCTCTATGAAATAAAAATATTCTTTAAAAAATAAAATAAAGTAACAATAATTCTCTTTCTTTCTAGTCCAGTGATGGCGAACCTATGACACTCATTTTTTTGGTTGATTTTTCTTTGTTAAATGGCATTTGAATATATAAAATAAATATCAAAAATATGTCTTTGTTTTACTATGGTTGCAAATATCAAAAAATTTCTATATGTGACACGGCACCAGAGTTAAGTTAGGGTTTTTCAAAATGCTGACACGCCGAGCTCAAAAGGTTCGCCATCACTGTTCTAGTCCATATAATTGTTAATCTTTATTTTTTTTGTCCTCTTGCATTGAATAGGATGCCAGTTCAATGCTTAACAGTATGAGAAATAGAATCAGTAGGTCCTGACTTTAATTATGTTTCTAAAGTTTTACTTTAATTATATTTGCTATGGGGTTGGCAGTTGTTTTTTTATTATATTAAAATAAAGTTACCTTTCATTTTGAGTTTAAGAATTTTATCAAGAAGAATTGCTGAAATGTATTGAATATTTTCCTTAAGCTATCTGGGTAATAATGTTTTTTATATTAACCTATTTATACATTAACTGGTTAATATGATTGTTGGCCTTAAAAATAAGTTATTTTGCCAGCAAAAATGGGTTAATTCAGGACAAGCACGCTATAGCAAAAGCCATAGGCAAGTTCAACAAACAAAAGAAAGGAATGCTATTTTATGGAGAAAAAGGAAGAAGTTGGGAGGAGTACTTTTGAACAAAAGTTCATTGGGGAAAAGCAAGAGTTCAGGAGGAGGGTGGTTTCATTGGCTGAGCTGCAGGGGTATTCGGTTTCTCGATTTCTTGTAGGAGATGCAGTATATATCTTTTCTGTTGGGGCCTGTAATTGGTGACTCTTTACCTCTGATGATTTCTTATGTTGGGATCTGTAATTGGCAATTCTTCCTGTAAATGACATCAAGTAGTACTGTGTGAGAGCTCCCCCTCTGGCCTCCTGACTCCATTTTATTGAATATTCCCTTTACTAATTTTCACAAGATGAATATATTAATAAACTCTAACATTGAGTTATTTTAGATATATTATATATTTATAAGGTTGAACAATATAAATTTGTCCTTTGGGTTTGAGTCAAGTTGAAGAAAGTAACATACATGCAGTACTATTTATCTAATATAAAGAACTTATTCAAATTCCATCAATTGTCCTGATAATGTCCCAGAAACAAAATTTGGGGTTGGTATCCAATGTCAAATATCTTTAGCTACATTACACTGGAGCAGACTTTGTCGCGTGACCTCAACATTTTTTTTTAAAGTGTGTCCCATTTTCATGCTGAATGGATCTCAACTTGTGTTTGTTAGATATTTCCTCACAATTTAGATTCCAATTTTTCAGTTTTGGCAGGAATACTACAGAGGTGATATTGTACTCTCAGAGATCATATCAAGAATTTCATATTATGTTTGTACCAGTAATGACAATATTAATTCTGATAGCTTAAGGTGATAAATGCCATATTTGTCTTTTGTAAAGTTATTATTTTTCCAATTGTAATTAATAAATATTCTGTGGGCAGATGTGTTGAGACTAATGAAATATTCTCTCATAAAACTTTCACCCACCTAGTTTCATCAATATGGATATATGGATTCTTATTCTTTGGGTTATAACCTGTTATGATTTATTTGGATGCTTTAATATCCCAGATTTGGCTAATTTTCTAGCTGGTTGCAGTTTCCTTTTCATAAGACCCAGGTATTCAATTTTAAGGCTTGTTCTATGGCCAGAAGTATCCATCTCATCTCCTGTCCCATATTTCCTCATAAATTTAAAGTTCTATGGAAATAGCTCCTCAGAGTTCCCAGAATCTTATCAAGGGCCACAAACTTTTTGGTGTACGCAAACAATAACACCATTTCATATTATGGGATAAAAAGTTTCCATCTTGGATTGTAAACAAGAATGTGAAAGAGTTTCTCATTTTTGGAAAAAATCTAAACCACATACCCCACTTTTCTCTAACGTTTTGTTATCTATACACTACTCTGGAGCAATAATTGATCAATTAAAGCCCTACAGTTATAAGATAAACTCATTCTCCTTAACTTTAACTGAAAAAATATTTTTTTATTAAAAAGATACGAGGAAGCACCCATAAAGCCAGAAAACCAGGTTCAAAAAGGGACAGTATTCAGAGTTAGTCTAGGGTATCAATACAGCAGGAATTTTTTATCTGAATAGAATTCTGGGAGAAGAACATAGGAGTTCCCACATTTCCTTTATGGTTCATGTGAGATTGAATTAAATTAAAAATCCTGGAAAAGAGGCTACTGTTACCCAACAATGGGCATAATGCCTCCCTGTCACTAGTGGAAACGACACCACAAGGAGGCACACACAGAAGTACTTCTGCAGAGAAAACTACAAGGGGAATGGACACTGAGCTGCTAAAATATACTCGACGTTCATTACAATGCATTCTCTTCAGCAGCCCTGTGATTATTGCCAGACCCACTGATGTAGACTCCTGAATAAGCGAACTCATTTGGAATGAGAACCGTACCTTTTCATTTATTAAAAGCCACATTATATTAGCTATATTGCTAAGAAATAGAGACAATACTGATAGTTATTTAACATGAGGAATACTGGGGGATGTTATTCCACAAACTATTAAGTATAACAAGTTACATTGAAAAAGAAAAGAACAAAATTTTAAAAATGCTGTTGAGGCCCTGGCCAGCATGGCTGCTGGTTGGGCGTTGTCTTGTGCACTGAAAGGTTGCTGGCACATGCCCGGGTTGTGGGCTCAATCCCTGCTAATCAACATGCAGGAGGCAGCTGATCAATGTCTTTCTCTCTCCCTTCATCTTTCTAAAAGTCAATAAAAATAGTTTTAAAAATGCTATTCAGTGCTGTTCATAAAAGTCACCCTAAATATTCCTTAACCTACAGAATATGACCCTTATCTTTACATTTTATTTACATATTAAAATAAAAACCTTTATACTCCACCATGTAAAAGTCTACCATTTATAATTATTTTCTTCACTCTAAAACATAGCTTCAAATTTGGAATGTGACTCTCCATTTAACACATTTTCTATGAGAAAATGCTTTCCCAATTTAATAAATTTATAGTGTTCTCAATATGAATTCTTAAAATTACATCTTCATAATGATGCCAGCACATTTTATACAGTTCCTGCTCAATTTCTTCAGTTATTCTCATCTATCAAGTTTGTATATGACTTATTTCTACAATCTTTTGCACAGTCATTACAAATATGATTGGTTTCTCTCCTATATATGACTTGTTTGATATGAGTGAATTTTTAGGACTGCCTGCTTATATATTGTCTATATTATCATCTGAAGTCTCCTAAGGACCAAGTGTTATTAGAATGTTTCTAACATCTGCTTCATTCTAATTTCACTTGTGAGTTTTTCTATGTATACGGAGCCCTGAATTCCAACAGAAGGATTTCCCGCACTCAGAGCATTTCCATGGTTTCTCTCCTGTATGAACTCTTTGGTGCTCACTGAGAGATGACTTCTGAGTGAAGGCTTTCCCACACTCACTGCATTTGAAAGGCTTCTCTCCTGAGTGAGTTTTCTGGTGTATCTGGAGTGATGCCTTCCTAGGATAGGCTTTCTCACATTCACTGCATTCATAGGGCTTCTCTGTTGAGTGAGTTCTTTGATGTATAATGAGCTGTGACTTCCCACAAAAGGCTCTCTCACAGAAACTACATTCATAGGGCCTCTCTCCTGTGTGTGTTCTCCTGTGTATAACGAGGTATGATTTGCTGCTGAAAGCCTTCCCACAGTCACTGCATCCATAGGGTTTCTCTCCTGCATGAGCTCTCAGATGTGCAGTGAGTTGTTCCTTCCTCCCGAAGGCCTTCCCACACTCACTGCATTGATAAGGATTATTTCCTGTGTGAATTCCCTGATGTACAGTGAGCTGTGTCTTTGTATTGAAGGCTTTCCCACAATCACTGCATTGATAGGGTTTCTCTCCTGTATGCGTTCTGATGTGAACGAGGAGGTATGACTTACTCCTAAAGGCTTTCTCACATTCGTTGCATTTATGGGGTTTCACTCCTGTGTGAGTTCTCTGGTGTACAACAAATGGTGACTTCAAACTAAAGGCTTTCCCACATTCACTGCATTCATAGGGTTTCACTCCTGTATGACTTCTTTGGTGTAAAATAAGCTGTGACTTCCAGCTATAGGCTTTCCCACAGTCACTGCAACCATAAGGTTTCCCTCCTGTGTGGATTTCCTGATGGACAATCAGCTGTGACCTGAAAGAGAAGACTTTGCCACATTCACTGCATGAGTAGGGTTTTTCTCCTGTATGAACTCTCTGGTGAGCGTTAAGGTTTGACTTGGCACTGAAGGCTCTTTCACACTTAGTGCATTCATAAGGTCTCTCCCCTGTATGAATTCTGAGATGAACAATGAGCTGGGATTTACAACGAAAAGCTTTCCCACATTCACCGCATACACAGTTTTTTTCTGTACTGTGAGCTCTTTGATGCTTAAGAAAATATGATCGTTCATATCCATGAAACTTATCAGGATTCTTTCTTAGATAGTTTCTGGTTAAACCTGACTTTTGTGTCAAACTTTTTTTCCCAAGTGTGTTAAACTTATGGAGTCTTTGTCTTGAAGAAGCCTGGGTTTTGCTCAGATGAAGTTTTCCAAATGTGTTACAAGCATAGTTTCTCTCAACACTTTCAAGCTCATCTTGATTCTTCTGGTACCATTCTTTCCAATCTTCTAGAAAGAAAAATATTTTTAAATCATAACATGAACTTAATATAGAATGAAAGTTTTAGAACTGCCATGTAGTGAGTCTTTTCCTCTGGTTCTGGCCTCTGACACTGGTTCAAAGAAATACTGGCCAAGTGCACCTGTGCCAGAGATCTAAGCATGAGGGTGAAGGGAACCGAATCAAACTAAACCAAGTCCCATTGTGGAAATGGGTAGCAAATTAGCAGTGACAAAGGGGATGACAAAGGGGAGATAATTAGAACACTGGTCCCTGACATCATCAAGCTTCTGAATTAAGCTACTGTGGAGTTATTGCCCTATGGCAGACAACTTGTCATTTGAGACTATAAATCCTTCTTGTTTACTTTGGTTGAACCAGAGGTTTAAGATACTTGTTTATATTCTCAGACTAGTGATAGGATGCTTATGCACATAAATCTAGCAGCAACAGCTAAGGGGAATATTCAAGTTCTCAAATACAGCTAAGATGTTGAGTTATCCAAGTATGAGAGAATACAGATCTAGGCAGCCAAGGAGGCTCAGAGGTTGAGCGTCGACATATGAACCAGTTGGTCACAGTTGGATTCCCAGTCAGGGTATCTGCGCGGGTTGCAAGCTCGATCCCCAATCAGGCAGAAGGCAGCTGATCAATGATTCTTTCTCATCATTAATGTTTCCATCTCTCTCTCCCTCTCCATTCCTCTAATCTGGGTGACAATTGAGAAGACAGGAGACAGTAAAGATGTTCCAAAGAGTTAAACGGCAACAGAAACAAAAGCAGTACCTAGATTAGCAAAGAGACCAGGGTGCCCAAGGGGAGCCCCAGAGCAAGGATACAAGACTAAAAGTGCAAGAACAATAATCATAACAACAGGAAAACTGAGGGAGAACAGTGATTTCAGAAGAAATTATTCCTCACTTCCTTCACTGAGAATGAAGAGTGGAAAGTACAGGAGAGCGCTCTTGCAAGCACATCAGACCTGGGAACAGATTACAGAAGAAAAAGAAGATGAAAAGATCAATTTTGATGTTATAACACTGAGAGAGAAAATAGCTTAACATTTCAGAATGGAAGAGCCTTTCAATAGTTATAGGAGTAAACAGCCAAATTTGGAAAATAAACCCCTTTGGATAACTCAAGAGGAAAAAGGGGCCATGGAATTATTATTAAGGCGATCAAATCAGTTAAAAATACAGTGGAGACCAGGTTAGGCTCAGAATTCTAAGAAAAGTGCCTGCCAGGCAGGCGTGGCTCAGTTGGTTGAGTGTCGTCATGAGCACAGAAAGGTTGCTGGTTCAGTTCTCAGTCAGGGCATGTATGGAAGGCAATTGATCAATGTTTTTCTCTCACATTGATGTTTTCTCTCTCTCTCTTTCTCTCCCTTACTCTAAGTATGTCCTCAAGTGAGAACTTAAAGAGAAAAGAAAAAAGTGCCCAAGAAAGAAACAGTTAGAACTTCAAAGTGATCAGTGAGAAGAGAGAAGAAGGCAATAAAATCTCCGAAGACAGTCAAGGCAAGAGAAGGAAGTAAAAGACTGTGGGGAAACTCTAAGGGATTCAACTGTGACCGCAAAGGAGAAAAAACATGTTAGGAAAGTGGAGGCATGAGTGACACCAAGTGAGAGGCCTGGAAGCCTGAGATGGTCCATGACCATGGGAAGGAAGGCAGAGAAAGAAGGTGCCAGAAGGAAAGAAACGAACCCAGAAAACAATATTTGAGCAGAGTGCACAAAAGGAGGGCACGTTTACCTCGTAGAGCCAGGGGTCTGAAGCCCAAACATGGGCAGAATGACAACCATTTCCTTACCTGAGGAACTAGCAGGACCCCCCGACCCCACCGCCCCATGGTTCAGGGACTTTAGACAAAAGTGTCTACACCCAGTGCTGCCTGAGTGGCACCCTGTGTGCTCCCACACCTCCTGTCTTCCTGGCTCCCACTCACCCACCTGGACAGCTCTGATGAGAAAGTCTGGCATTTCCTATCCATGGCTCTTCTCCTTGCTCCAACTTGAAGATTAAATCAGGTTTGGTACCATGATACCCTGTTAATGGAAAATCACAAAGGATGTGGGCTAAACTGCTAGGATTGAGACATCAGGAGCTACAACATGACACTGCTCATTTGTACTTGGGAAAAGTTTACAATTAGGAGGTGATAGCCAAACAGGGATGAACACATGACCTCTAAAGTTCATGCCATAATCGTCAAGTACTTCAGAGGCCCCCGGGTAAATCAACAAAGGAAAAGGGATGGCAACTCATGACTCAGAGTCTATTAACAGAGAAGCTGTACTTACCTATAGACACCAGGTTGCGATAGTTTTCCAGTATCACATCCCTGTACAGGTACTTCTGCGCAGAATCCAGTAACTGCCATTCTTCCCAGGTGAAGTCCATAACTATATCCTTGAATGACAATGATTCCTGTAATAACACATACCCCATTGAATCAGATGCAGTCACCCTAGGTGACGTAGGAGTAACAGTTTTACACACATTTCATAGTTAAATACATAAATGTTACAATAAAATATGGCACTTTACCTTGAAAAAGACCTGATGTCCAGGTGGCAAAGGGGCTGCAGCTTATTGAAAAGTGGTGGAGCCCTAGCTGGTTTGGCTCAATGGATAGAGCCTTGGACTGCGGACTGAAGGGTCCCAGGTTCGATTCCGGTCGAGGACACTTGCCCGGGTTGCGGGCTCAATCCCCAGTTGAGGGCATGTAGGAGGCAGCCGGTCAATGATTCTCTCTCATCATTGATATTTCTATCTCTCTCCTCCCCTCCCTTCCTCTTAGAAATCAATTAAAAAAAATATTTTTTAAAAAAGTGGTGGAAAGAAGTTGTCTAAAATCAGAAAGCTCCCATTGTTGGCTAAGATATCCACGATGTTGAAACAAATTCACATTTTAAATCACACATGAGCCCTAGCCAGTGTTGCTGAGTGGATTGAGTGTCATCCTGTGACGAAAAGGTGACCAGTTTGGTTCCCAGTCAGGGTTTCCGTGCAGGAGGCAGCCGATCCATGTATGTATATCTATATATATCTCTCTCTCCAATTAAAAAAAATTAAATAAAAAAATAAAGCTAACGTGATGGCAAAACTGACTGTATTTACAAATTTATTCCCATGAATTTGAAAACTTAGAAGGAATGGAAAAATTTCCGGGAAAATGAAACTAACCGAAATTGGCCCAGAAATAATTAGGAAAGCCAGACCAACTAGTCAATGCTCATACAACAAACCGAAATAGTACCAAAGATGTAGCAACTCCAAAAGGTAATGGTCTCAGACTATACTTACAAGTCAGTCCTATCACTGACCCAAGGAACAGCAACTTCCCTCACATCTGACATGATGCAGAGCCAGGAAATGATGGGTACAGCGCAGCATCGTACAAATTTGCATAATCCCACAGACAATGCCAGGCAAGAACAGCACAAACTGTAATCTAATCTCATTTATTATTAACTCCGGTCAATATTCCTAGAGAAAAATACTAGGGAAGTAAAAGGAATCCTACACATACACACATAGTAAACTGAGACAAGGAAGTTTATCTAAAAAAATTAGAGGACAGGCCACTGTATTAAGTACTCTTTTCTCAAATTACAGGGAGGAAAACAAACACCTTCTCCAAACTTTCTTGTCTTTTGCGCGCACTGCAGTCCTCCAGAGCCCTCCTTCCCTGTCCCTGCTCCGAGTCCTGCCCCAGATCCTTCCCGGGGCTCTGCTCAGTCACATCGGGGCTAACGCGATCGCAGGCGCCTCTCATCTGTTTATTTCCAGTTAAGAATTCCCACCGAGCTACAGACCGACTCCAGGCAGCGCCTATTAACACCCACAAACCACACGGTGCCGGGATGCGTCTCCCAACAGGGCTCCCCCGGCGGGAACACCCTCGGCGCTGCCCTGGCCGGGTCTGGTCCGTGGAGTTGGGCAAGTTTGAGAGCATCATCTCCCGGCTCCACGTCAGTTCAGCCACGGCTGGAGTCGCCCTCGTGCTCACTCCGTCGGTCCAGGCGGCCCACGCACCCTCCCTCCCTCCAAACCTGCTTCGTTACGCTTTGCACCCCAAATCCTGCCCGCCCCCCCCCCCCATTAGCCTGCCTCTATGCCCGGTGTTCACTCGATTACCTCCCGCCCCCCGCACCCAGACCACAGCTCCTCGGAAACAAGAACCCTGCATAACCGAGCTCTGCACCGCCAGCCCCAGCCCCGGGACCCTCACTGCCCTCGGAGGTCAGGGTCCGCAACCTGCAATAAGTGTAACTGCGGAAGGCGAGGCCCGGACACAAATGCCAGAAGACAACGGCTCCGGAGGTCCAGAGCCGGGCGGGGCGGGTCTGGGGCAGCCCGTGAGCCCAGGCCCTGGAGGGGGCCGTGCAGGGATGACCGTGTCCGCGCCCAGCGCCGTCAGCTCTGAAAAGAAGAAAGTCTCGACTCACCCCACACGCAGCTGCCCGGGTCTTGGCCATCCCGCGCGGTTCCGTGCAGGCTGCGGGGGAGGCACCGAACCGTCGGGGCCTCGCTGCTGCTTCCACCCGCGCCCCCCGCCAGGAGGGACCTCGCGCCCCCACAGAGCGAGGTTCGGGGGCTGAGTCCCCCGCGGGGAGGCGACCTCCGAGCCTGGACAGAGGAACCGGAGAGGTGAGTTCGTACCGTTCCGCGGCCCTCACGCGGGAGGAGAGGCCGGGCTGGATCCGTCCACGACGGGACCGACCGTGGAGGGCTCCGCTGGACCAGAGCCTGGTCAGCAATGGCCGGATCCGCGGCCACAGACACTCAGAACGCCCCCCCCGCCCGCTGGAGAACGCTGACAACAAGCCTGAGGCAGCACCGCCGGCGCCCCTACCGGCTACCGCCGCGGGGCGGCGCACGCGGAAGTACGTCATGCGTCCTAGAGCCGGGCGGGACAGGCCGGGAAGAAAACTACATCTCCCAGAATCCTCTGCGGAGCGTCCAACTAACTGGACCGGCTTCCTGAAGGCGGGAAGGGACAGAGGTTTGGAACCTAACGGGAAAGGCAGGCAGCGGGCGGGCCTCCGCGAGAGTCCGGGCCGTCAGTCCAGGGCAGCCCTGCGCCCCAGCTTCCGCACAGTCACGCAGCCCCGGCAGAAGTCTGGCATCGCTGGAGCGGCAGGCGTGCTCAGGTCTGGATGTCAAAGCAAGATAGAGTTAGACCACAAGGCATAGCAGAGAGGCACTGTGAGGCTGCAAGCTGCAGTTCCCAGGGTTACAAAACAGTTCTGATGATCGGCGCACCAAGCAATACAGTTACCAACTTCATAAAGGAGAAAGTACAGTAGGCGGAGAGAGAAATAGAGGTTCACCCATAATAGGAGATGTTAACATACTTCTCTCGGTCCGACACAGATCAAGCGGCCCACTCTCATAACAATGCAATGACACTATAATAGCATACTTTTAACGGGGCTTTCTGTCCGAAAATATTTTTTAAAAAGCTTTCTACTCAACAGTGAATGGAAATACAGACAAAATATAAACAACACTATGTAAGAATTTATGGGAGAAATTTAAAGCAGTGTTGACAAGAAATTTCATAATGTTGAGTAATTATAATAGTAAAAAAAAACAAATTAAATGTATTTACTTCTCAAAAAGTCATTAAAGAACAACAGAGTAAGCCAGAGCAAAGAGAATTCAAAAATAAAAGCAGACAACTGGGCAAAATTGGCAAGAACAGAAAAGATTCAAATAATACCATGAATCCACTCAAAGCAATTGACAGAGAACACTACTAAAAGACTTAAAAATGCATAATTATTATGTATACATGGAACATTCTCCAGGATAAATCCTATGGTGGACCACAGTAAATTTAAAAGGATTGAAATCATACCTTTTCTTACAACAGTGACATAAGAAACCAATCCCAGAAAAAATGTATTAAGTCTCCAGATTTTTGGAAATTAAAAAACACACTTTTAAGTAAGCCCCTAAACTCAAAGAAGAAATCACCAGGGAAATTAGAAAATACTTTGAATTGAATTAAAATGAAAATGCATATGTAAGAGATCATACACTATTTGTCTTTCTCTGCCTGACTCATTTCACTTAGCATAATGTCTCATTCTCCCTTTTTTTGGATAAAAATTTATAGTATTTAAAATTTTATTTTTAAAACCTGAATTTATCAAGGTAAGCTTTTCTTATTTTAATTCCTTAATTCCTGCTTTTATATTCATTGTTTTCTCTTTCCATAATTGCATTTAATTTCTCCCTAAATTCCTCATTTTGTTTATTTTCATTCCTTTTATTAGTACTGTTGGATTAGGTAAGTTCTCTTCTGGGGACACATCTGTGTTGGCTCACACACTTTTTAAAATATATATTTTAAAATATCTTTTTATTGATTTCAGAGAGGAAGGGAGAGGGAGAGATAGAAACACCAATGATGAGAAAGAATCATTGGTTGGCTGCCTCCTGCACACCCAACACTGGGGATAGAGCCCGGAACCTGGGCTTGTGCCCTCAGGGGAATCGAACCATGACCTCCTGCTTCTTAGGTTGACGCTTAACCACTGAGCCACACTGACCATGCAATATGGTTATTTTTAACTTAATTTTTTTTTCTTTTACAGAGAGAGGAAGGGATAGAGAGGGAGAGACAGCCATCGGTTGCCTCGCGTTACCTCCCCTACGCACTCCGACCAGGGGCCGAACCCACAACCTGGACCGGGAATGAGTGCACGGGCGAACGCTCAACCAACAGAACCAAACTGACTAGGGCCCCTCACACATGTTTTAACCCGCAGCACCGGCTCCACCCATCTCTGAACCACGCACCTTGGCAGCTACAAGGGGCTTCAAACCCCCCACCTGTCAATCCTGCAAGCCGGTCGCAGAGCCCTCTGGGAAGTGTAGTTCTGAAGCGAGAGGAATTCCGGGAAATGTAGTTCTGCGCAGACACTTCCGCCTTCGGGAGGTGTCAGGGGGGTGCTGCGGCCTCCAGGGGGAGGCTTTGTGGCGCGGAGTCGGCAGGTTGCGGCCTGGGGCGGCCCCCGTGACCGCCCAGTCCTTCGGCCACCCTGGCGCGCTCACGAACGGCCCCGGAGCCGGTGCTGGGCAGGCCCGGAGAACGGCCCTGCGGCGCGGCGGTTCCCATCCGGGTGGGTGGGGACCGCGGGGCTGCGGGAAGGGAGGGAGCGGGGTGCGGCGCGTTAGGGGGCCGGGTCTGTAGCAGTGGGTGCGGGGCGGCGAGAGTGTGCGGCCGGACGGAGACGTGGGGGCCCGCCTGCGGCGGCGGGTGCGGGGCTGGGAGGAGGCCGGGAGCGGTGACTCGGGGGCGTTTGAGGATAAAGCGGTGAATGCAGTCACCTGAGCTCGGCGGGGGTGGGGTGAGGTCGGGCGGGGGTGGGGTGAGGTCGGGCGCGGGGGGCCCCACGCAAGGAAGGAACCGGCTGACGGTGCCGCGGGTGGATCTCCGGGAGCGGCTCGGGGGCGTCCGTAGACGGGGTGGCAGTGGTGGCGGCTCCGAGGCAGCAGCGGGTGAGGAGAGGCCCTGCCTGGACCGAGCAGCTTGGGAAGAGGCGCTTTCCGTTCGCTGGTTGCTGTCGGCTCTCCCAGAGCATCGCCAGGAGAGACCCGCCCTTCGCGCTGGGCTGAAGAGTCCCGCTTCCCGGGCAAAGCCTGGCAGTCGGCTCACACCCAGTGTCACCTTCTCCCCTCTTTGCGGCCGATGAGCGGACACTGCCGTCCACCCGCCCCTGTGCCCATTCACATCCACGGGGACATGGGAGGCACCTTCCCGCTTCCTTTAGTAAAACGGGGCCTCCGCGGTGTGACAGCCTCTCCTTGCTCCGCTCATTTGCTGGAAGGAGGCCCGCTGTTGGGTCTGCCTGTGGCAGGTTTGCTAGGACAGGTGGAATCTGTCCCCCTGCATCCGAGTCTGCCAGGTCCCGAGCTTACTGGACATTTCCCTTCCCTTCCCTTCTTAGGAAGGAAGTATCCCTGTGCCACCCGTGCCAGGAGGTCCTTCTCTGTCCCGGGTCTGGCTGGATGTCAGTGAAGACAGTGAAGAAAGTGTAAGTCTTTTTATGCATCAAAATTATATTTTTGTTTATCATGCTTCTTTTAAATCTTGGTTTGTCCCAGTAATTCCATCTAAGACAGTGGTTCTCAACCTTCCTAATACCCTTTAATACAGTTCTCATGTTGTGGTGACTCCCAACCATAAAATTATTTTCGTTGCTACTTCATAACTGTAATGTTGCTACTGTTATGAATCGTAATGTAAATATCTGATATGCAGGATGTATTTAGGCGACCCCTGTGAAAGGGTCGTTCGACCCCCAAACGGGTCGCAACCCACAGGTTGAGAACCCCTGAAAGGTGATATATGTTATACAGTTTGTGATCTTTCAAAAGTGTTAAAAATAGTGGTTGCATCCAGTTAGTCTGGTTGGCATGTTAGGAAAATAATTAAAATCATCACCTGCCAACCCAGAAAACGTCTCCAAAAAAGTAGAAGAGAAAGAAAAGTTTTATTATCGAATAACAGTTAAACCAGAATGCAATGAGCATTGCAAGCAGTCTGCTGAAGAGATTGTAGAGACGGGGAGAAGGCTCACCCTTTTTGTACAACCCATCACACACAGGTTCTCTAGGTAAATGATCACATGTCACACACAGTCCATCCTAGATTTACCTGGTGACTGGAGTGGCCATCAGTGTAGCTAACTGCCTTTCCCCAAAGAAAAAACTAAACTTTTCATATCTTTATGACATTCCCCTGGCGCCCGGGGTGGAAATCCGCCAATTAGGCTCCAAAGAGATGGCCTTCCAGGTCCCTAAGCAAGACATTCTTGGGTTGTTAAACGGGGCAAAGCTTCTTTAGCTTTAGGAAAGATTAACATACATCTCATAGGGGCAGAGAATTTACAATGACAGGTTTTCTAAAGTAAATGCTCTCCGAATAGGGGTTGGGAAGTCTCTCTTCTTTTTTCCATGAGGGAGAATTAGTTTTTCATTTTTAACTTACATTTGCTCTTACAGGTGTTTAAGCCCATATCCCCCTAGAGGTGTTAGCTACTCTCAGTACAAGCTCTGGTAATTTGCAGCAGGGGAGGCTGAGACCAGGCCTTTGAAGAGAGGGGAGGGACCCTGTAGAACCGCTGGACATCTGAGTCCCACCAACTCTCCAAGCAGCTCCTCAGGTGAGGGGTCAGGAGCCCTTAGAGCAGCGGTTCTCAACCTGTGGGTCGCGACCATCGGAAAACACATATATAATTACATATTGTTTTTGTGATTAATCACTATGCTTTAATTATGTTCAATTTGTAACAATGAAAATACATCTTGCATATCGGATAGTTACATGACGATTCATAACAGTAGCAAAATTACAGTTATGAAGTAGCAATGAAAATAATTTTATGGTTGGGGGTCACCACAACATGAGGAGCTGTATTAAAGGGTCGAGGCGTTAGGAAGGTTGAGAATCAGTGCCTTAGAAAAAAGCCCCGGGGAACCGAGAGGAGGTAAGAGATGAGTAAACCCCCAAGGGCAGCTGCGCAGCCCTTGCCATTTGCACGGTTTTCTTAATTCACCTGGAGTTTGATCTGCCCGTTATCCCTAGAAACCCGTCTGGGGCTGTTCCTGCTGGTTTCTGAGGGAACAGGTGGGCAGTGTCTGCCCCAGTGTAAGCCCAGAAAGAAGCAACATTACAGGTTTCCTTAGGCCTCTTGCTGCCTCTGCTCTAGCTGTCACACATGCGGTGTGCCGTCAGCTTCACCAGCGCTGTCTCCCCCGTGGTCTCTCTTCCTGCTGCTCTTTCTGTTGGTTCCTCTGATCTCTGCATTCCTTTTGCTCCATGGCTGAATTTGGAGTAGAGAGCCAGCACCCAGGCTACTTCACCATCTTGATCTAAAAGCCAGTTCTGTTTACCATCCTGCCCAGAAATGAGTTGCATTTTACACTGTGGCACCTATGCAAGTAAATTTGATTTAAGTGCCCCCAGGAAATGTTGCTGCAGAAGGAGTGAGCCAAGATTGTATGTTCAGGCTTTGCTGAGGTCTCTGCAGAGAGTCCTGGGGTGTGTGTGTGTGTGTGTGTGTGTGTGTGTGTGTGAGATGGGGAAGGGGGTGGGGGTGGTCCAGGTTTGTTTGGTTGAACCAGGCAAGTGGCTTCCATCTGGCATTTCCAGGTGGGAGCCAGGGCTGCAAAGGGCAGGGCCAGGCTCAGCTGAGACCTGCTGGTGGCTCACATTCTGTCCTGCTTCTGATTTGAGTGCAGCAAACACTTGTCTGAGATCCCAGTGAGAGAGAACTGAGATTTAGGTTCCCAAATTAATTACACCATTTAAAATAAAATTCCCACTGCATCTCCAGGCCATGGCCCTCAGGAACAAGATGCCTCAAGTGAGGTAAGGAAGGAGAGGCAATTTCCGGAGCGTCAGGACAGAGAGAAGGCCCAGACCAGCAGAATTCCCCAAAGCAGCAGAAAATGATCATGCCACAGGTGAGTTATGTGTTTATTCTCCAGAAGTTTTTCCTGTGGGTGTGATGGGCTTAGAGGAATCTTTACAAGCAACAGGACAGGTATACATACATTTAGATCCTAACCATAGAAAACAGTATAAACTTGGGAAGGATGCTGTTATGCAAAGAGCTGAGGTTCAAGAAGGCCTTAGTATATTGCTTGCTGGTTCCAAAGAAATAACCCAGAGGTCTGGCTGTGAAAGACATGAGTTTATTAGGACTTATGAGTGCACCGGTGAAGTCTCTGCAACACAGGCTTTTTCAGTCCAGGGTTATGCATAGTACAGAAAACAAAGCAAACAGGGTAATAAGTCCTGCAGGCAGGATGGACCTGCTTGCATGCAAGCTGTGTGAGATCAAAACGCCAGCTGTTAAAATCCAGGCTCACATCTGAGAGGTTTCTTTCTGGTTGTTCCTTGACTGGGGAGCTGGCAGGCTCTCCCAGGGTCCTCCAATGCACTTACCAACGGCCCTCATTGCATTTCCCTGGGGGGAGGGGCCCACATACCACACAGATGTCAAGGAAGCACAAGTGGGTGTGGACTCAAACCAAAGTCTTCCAGTTGGAACACAGATGTACCAGAAATGGGTCCTTCACGGTTAGAGAAGGGCTGCAGGCTTTCTTCAGCGGTTCCCAGAAGCCGGGCAGACAGGGCAGCAGGAACAGCTACAAAAGGCAAAGCCCTTACCGGGTAGGAGCAAGCGTTTCCTGAGGATTCCACGTGGAGGAAACTCGTCGACAGCCATTCATGTCGCTGACATAAGCGCATTTATTAGGAGGGATTCTTAGGAGGCCCCTAGTTGCGAGCGAAGGGTGTGAATCGGGAGGAAGCAGAACACGGGCATTTAGAGGACGGCAGCAGTGGGCCTGCAGGACACGCTGCCTGTCTTCTACGCTTAGGAGAGAACCTGAATCACGGGCAGAAGTGGTCATTAAAAAACCTTCAGGTGGCCCCATCATAATCGCTTGGTTGGAAACGTTTTTTGCTTCTGTTGGCAAAAGCTGGGCACGAGGGTGTCTGCCTTCAGCCCTGTTCCCTCAATTTCTTGACTCAAAGAAACAGACTGTCATGTCCCTTCGCTTTTCAAAGCCACTCCTACCCACTGAGCTAACTTCCCTCTTTCTCTTTCCCTCCCTTCATTCCTTTCTTTTAAAAATTCTGTTTAAACTAGTGTACAGTTACACTGGCTTTTCTCCTTTCTTCTTTTTTTAATACATTTTTATTGATTTCAGAGAGGAAGGGAGAGGGAGAGAGAGATAGAAACATCATGAGAGATAATCATTGATTGTCTGCCTCCTGCATGCCCCCCCCCCCCCCCCCCCCCCAGGGATCAAGCCCACAACCCAGGCACGTGCCCTGACTGGGAATCGAACTGTAACCTCCTGGTTCATAGGTCGGCTCTCAACATCTGAGCCACACCAGTCAGACTCCTCTTTCTTGATGTAGCTATGTCAGGATTTCAGCTGAGCTGAGGTAGCCCAGCTGCCAGTATCAGAGTAGCCAGTTAAAGCAATGGCCAAACCTTAGCCTGTATCACTCAGTGGTTAGAGCATCAGCCCTCGGATTAGATTCTGGTCAAGGGCATGTACCTTGGTTGCAGGCTTGATGCCCAGACCTGGTTGGGACGTGTGCGGAAGGTAACCAGTCAATGTGTCTCACATCGATGTTTCTCCCTCTCGTCTTTCCCCCTCCCTTTCACTCTCTCTAAAAATCAATAAAAGAAATGTCCTCAGTGAGGATAAACAAACAAACAAATAAAAATAAAGTAACAGCCAAAGTGAGAGTAACTGAGCCTCTAATTGTGTACTGCGATGGTGCAGCCAGAACCTAACTGAGAAGGCACCTGCCCCCCATCCGTTTCCTGCAGCACACAGGTGGAGGCTCAGGTGGGTCAGCGCAGACCTGGGGTTGCCCCTTTCCTCCCGGAGCCTGGAACAAGCTCCAGCAGTTTTGTGGTCTGGGGTCAGGAGGAGAGTGAGCTGAAAGGGCTGGGAGTAGGAAAGTACTGGGCACTGAGTCAGAATGGGGAGAAGGTTCCCTTCTCCCTTGAACTGTGACCTCCTAGTTCATAGGTCGACACTCAAACCATTAAGCCACACCAGCTGGGTGAGGAGGTCATGGTTTGATTCCTGGGTTTTGGGCTCAGTCCCTAGTGGGGGCCATGCAGGAGGCAGGTGCTTTCTCAGACAAGTGATTTGCAAATATTTTTTCCTTGTTTTTGCTGCGTTTTTCTTTTTCTTTTCTTTTTTACCAGCCTTTTACAGAGAAAAAGTTAGTTAATTTTGAAAAAAATCCAACTTAGTAAATTTTTTCTTAAATTGATTGTGTGTTTGGTGTGTAAATAAAAACTCATTGTCAAACCCAAGTCACACAGGTTTTCTCCTGTTTTATCCCTAGAAGCTGTATAGTTTTAGGTTTTACCTTTAGGTCTGTGATCCATTTAGAGTTAATTTTTTTTTTTTTTTTCTTTTCATTTGTCTGATTTTATTTTATTTTATTTTATTTTTTTATTTTTTTATTTTTTTTTATTTTTTTTTTATTGCTTAAAGTATTACAAAGGGTATTACATATGTGTCCATTTTATCCCCCCGCCCTAGACAGTCCCCTAGCCTCCCCTACCCCCCAATGTCTTATGTCCACTGGTTATGCTTATATGCATGCATACAAGTCCTTTAGTTGATCTCTTACCCCCCTACCTTAGAGTTAATTTTTAAATACAGCATGAGGTATGTGTTGAGGCTTATTCTTTTGTTTATAGGTATATAGTGTTTTTAGCACCGTTTATTGAAAACACTTTCTCTGTGGAAATGCTTTGGTACCTTTGCCAAAAATCTATTGAAAATAATTAGGTGTATGCTCCACAGTTTAATTAAAAGGATGATCATCCCAGCATTATTAATAATAGCAAAACAACAAAAAACCCCACCCAGAAATAAACTAAATATCCAACAAAAAAATGAATTGAGCATATTTGTAGGTGTCCATCTCTAGGCTCTCTATTCTGTTCCATTCGTCCATACATGTACTCGTTCACAATAGTACCTTTTTCTAACTACTGTGGCTTCATAGGAAGTCTTGAAGTCAGGCCATTTCAGTCCTGCATCATTTTCTTTTTCCAAGTCCTTTTTGCTGCACTAGTTCCTTTGCCTTTTGTCCCAATGCCTTCTATATCCTTGTTTCATGGCCTCTGTAACACCTTACTACCTGTGACCCCAAAAGACAACATATCTGAGAAGATGAATTTTTTTTCTTATCTTTCTATTTCTGGCACCTGTTACAGTTCTGGGAACCGTATGTGCTCAATATCTGTGTTCTAGACGACATCTACTGAGCTAGCCAGCTGTTCCTACCTGGGAGCAGAGGCACCCCCGGGGAAGGAGAGTGTTTGAGTGACTGAGACAAAGTACTGTCATTTAGCAGGTAGTGGCCAGGCTTGCTGAAGGGCTCCCACTGTGTGGGGCAGTTGCACTCAGCTAAGAATTGTTCCCAAGTACCAGTGGCACCTTCTTTGAGAAACATAGCACTTATTTAAAGACAACCTATTTCAGTTTCTTATTTAGTGGATAGATGAATGAGTTCATAATGATAGATATTTTAATAATATTTTTCTCTCTCTCTCAGGGTATAATGCAAGATTAGGATATTATATTAGTTTACCATTGCTGTGTAACAAATTACCCCCAAACCTTATTGGCTGAAAACACAGGATTTTATCTCACAGTGTCTGTGGGTTAGGATTCTGCCAGCTGCTTACCCGTTGGGTTCTGTAGTCAAGATGTTGAGAAGGGCTGTGGTCCTCTGCAGGTGCAGTCGGGGGATGATCCCCTTTCAAGCTCACTCATGTGGGTGTGAGCAGACCTCAGCCTCATGGGTTTCTGCACAGGAATGCCTTTCAGCATGGCAGCTGGACTCCCCAGAGAGCCAGAGAGGGTTTCCCCGACAGAAGTGCATTCTTCTGTAAGCCGATCTGGGAGGTGATGTTCTGTCACTTTGGGCCTGTTCTATTCAGCGGCAGTGTGTCAGTACGCCCAGCCCGTATTCAGGAGGGGAGTGTTACCCAGATGCATGAATACCAGGAGTTAGAGGTCAGTGGGGCCAATGAGGCACTGCCTAACTCTATAGAGAAGAAAGCCTGCATTCTATATGAGAATCACTTCCGCTTTAACAGGGATTCTGCTTTTCTAGATATCATTTGAGGATGTGGCTGTGGATTTCACATTGGAGGAGTGGCAGCTACTAAATCCCATCCAAAAGAACTTGTACAGAGACGTGATGTTGGAGAACTATAGCAATCTAGTGTTCTTGGGTAAGAACATTCTTTTTTTTATTATTATTGTTTTATTGCTTAAAGTATTACAAAGGGAGAACATTCTTATGTAATGCAGTGTGTGCCCAATAATGGTGGGGCCTCTAAGATTTTATTGATTTTGGGTTTAAGTTACAGATGTCAATGATTCTTTGATTTCTATACCCAACTGAAAGATTTTTATTCACTTGCTTTATTTTGTAGCCTTTGTAGTAAAATATTCTTCACACTTAAGAGTCCCTTAGCTCAAGCAGCTGTGTCCAACTAATAGGTCATGAAATTCTCAAACCTGATGCAGTTTTGAAGCTGGAGCAAGAAGAGCCCTGGAAAATAAATGAAGAAATTCTAAATCACAACTTCTCAGGTGAGAGATAATCCAGTGTATGGCATATGGTGAAGGTTACATCTCAGGTTTTTGAAGGAAGTTTACTACTCTTGAAATGTTATGTATAAACCTGTTTAAAGTCCTTAGGTCTTTAGAGTTGACTCAGAACTGTTGACATAGTTCTGCATTATTTTTAACGTGCCCTAGATCCTGGCCTCCACGTCAGGATGTGTCCTCTTTGGGTGGAGTTGATGATGAAATGCGCCTGTCTTACCCACATTCAGAGCCAGTCATTTCGGCTCTTGCTTCCATGGATAAGGCTCTTCCAGCCTCCTCATTCTCCACTTCCTTCTCTCCTGCACCAGAGGCAGGTTTCTCTCTTCCACTTTAGGAATTTGTAGGTTTTCCTCATTTTAGGTGACATTGATGACATTTGAGTTTCCTTTAATATTTTTCTTTTCTCGCACGGGAGGGTTGTGGGTTCCAGTTCCTGGTAAAGGGCATGTACTTGGGTTGCAGGTTTGATCCCTGACCCTAGTCGCAGGGTGTGTGGGAGGCAACCACATCAATATTTCTCTCTCTCTCTCTCTCTCTCTCCCTCCCTCCCTCCCTCCTCACGCCCACCCCCTCATTCCCTCCCTTTCACTATCTCTAAAAATAAAATGGGGAAAGATATTGTCAGGTAAGGATTAACAAAACAAAAAAAATTTTTTTAACCACTCCAGTATTTGATTAGAAGTTGCTTGTCTTTTTTATCTAATGATCACTGTTCCTTGAGTATATGTCATATTTTCTTATTTAACAGTTTGTGTTTATATAAACATTTGTAATTTTTAAAGTCTGTTTTCATTTTTGTTAAAAATTTTAATGCCTAGTAAGTAGACAATGTATTTGGGAGGTGTTTTTGGACTGGGATCCTAGGCTCCATTTCAGAAATTTTAATTAATAAACACAATCATAGGGGGATTTACACAGTATGGTTCATTTTTTCATTTTTAGAAGAACTCTGGCTAGATAATAATGTCAAAATGTGGCACCACAATAATCAAGACAAGCTTAAAAATATGGAGAAAGGCCATCAATATGTTTTGGGGAAAATATTTCATTCAAGCATTAACTTTGTTCATTTAGGAATGAGACTCCATAAATGTGGCACAAGTGAAAAAAGTTTGAATCATCCTTTTGATTTTCTTATTCAAAAAAATAACCATGGAAGAAAGAAACTTGAGCTCAATAAGAAATTGTTATTCTATATCAAAACTGACAGAACCTTTGGTGGAATAAAGTACTGTGATTGCAATAAATGTAGAAAGGCCTGCAACCAAGATTCATGGCTCATTACAAACCATACAACACACAGAGGAGTCTATTTATGCATGGAATGTGGTAAAGTTTTTAACAAGAAGTCACAGCTTATTATACATCACAGAACTCATACGGGAGAGAAGCCCTATGGATGCAGTGAATGTGGGAAAGCCTTCTCACAAAAGTCACTACTCACTATTCATCAAAGGACTCATTCAGGAGAGAAACCATATGGGTGTGGTGAATGTCCAAAAGCTTTCAGTAGGAAGTCACTGCTCATTTTACATCAAAGAACTCATACAGGAGAGAAGCCCTATGGATGCAGCGAGTGTGGAAAAGCCTTCAGCAGGAAGTCACAGCTTAAAAGACATCAAATAACCCATACAATAGAGAAACCCTATGGCTGTAGTGACTGCGGGAAGTCTTTCTCCCAGAAATTAAAGCTCATTACACATCAGAGAACGCATACAGGAGAGAAACCCTATAAATGTAGCGACTGTGGCAAAGCCTTCTTTTGGAAGTCACAGCTCATTACTCATCAAAGGACTCACACAGGGAAGAAACCTTATGCATGTAGTGAGTGTAAAAAAGCCTTCAGCAGGAACTCACTCCTTATCAGGCATCAGAGGATTCACACAGGAGAGAAGCCCTATGAATGCAGTGAATGTGGTGAAGCCTTCATCAGAAAACCACAGCTTATCAGACATCAAATCACTCACACAGGAGAGAAGAACTGTCAGTGTAGCGACTGTGGGGAAGCCTTCTTTAAGAAGTCAGAGTTAATAAGACATCAAAAACTTCATTTAGGAGAGAGACCCTATGGATGTGTTGAATGTGGTAAAACCTTCTTCGGGAAGTCACAGCTTCTTACACATCAGAGAACTCACACTGGAGAGAAACCTTTTGAATGCAATGAATGTGGGAAAGCCTTCACCCAAAAGTCAAGCCTGATATCCCATCAGAGAACTCATACAGGCGAGAAACCCTATGAATGCAGTGAGTGTGGGAAAACCTTCAGTGAGAAGTCAAGTCTCATTCATCACCAGAGAACCCATACTGGGGAAAAGCCCTTTGAATGTAGTGAATGTAGGAAAGCTTTTGCCTGGAAGCCACAGCTTCTTCGGCATCAAAGAATCCATACAGGGGAGAAACCCTATGCATGCAGTGAATGTGGGAAAGCCTTTGTTCAGAAAGTACAGCTCATTAAACATCAGAGAAATCATACAGGAGAGAAATCTTACAGATGCAGTGATTGTGCAAAAGCTTTCTTTGAGAAGGCACAGCTAATTATACATCAGAGAATTCATACAGGAGAAAGGCCCTATAAATGTGGAGAATGTGGAAAATCTTTCACTAGAAAGTCACACCTTATGAGGCATCAGAGAATTCACACAGGTGATAAATACTATGGGTGCAACGAATGCGGGACTACCTTCAAGAGGAAGTCACAGCTCATGATCCATCAGAAGAATCATGTAATATAGAAACCACATGAGAGCAGTGAGTATGGAAAGGCTGCTAGCAGATGTCATGCCTCTTATTGCTTCTGAGGATACACACACAGGACAGAAACCCTGTCATTGCAGTGACTGTTGGGAAAAAATTCTTATTGGAAAGGCAGTGTCACTAAAAAGAATTCAGAGATTTTTTAAAAAGTAGACAATATAAGAAAGCCTTCTCCCAGAAGACACAACTTATTACACATTGATAGCTCATCTATCAATAACAGAAACTTTTGGTCAAAAGTGAAAGCTTGTTAAATATTTAGAAGACCTAAATAGGTCATAACAAATGAGAGGAAGATTTCATTCAGGGTAACATACTTACTAGAGAATGTGTACATATGGGAAATACTGAGTATTAGAGACTTCATAGGCAGAAGTAGTCCTAGTAGTTGGAAGAACTTTATAAACATCATACTATTGAAATAATTCAGTAACGAAGTAGTTTGTTGTATACAAATTATAAGAGATGGTCATTTTTAAATGGTAGATATGTTTTAAGTGTGAAGACATCTGCTTTCTGCAGTGGTGGCAGATCAAGGACCAAATTAACTCTCTGGCCTTAAACAGCTAAAAACTGGTGTTAGACATGTGACAAGCAGAGGTTTGTCATCGCTGGCAGAAGGTGGACAAAGTGGTGGCAGTTTCCAGGCTGCAGTTCAGGGAAGGGAACAAGCATAGTCCTGCCACGTTGAATAGAGTTGCAGAATTGGCGTTTGGGGAGGCCATGGCAATAGCATTTGCAAGGAAAGCACTAGAGGGGAAGGAGCCTCCCAGGGAGAGGACTGCAGAAATGGACATGTTGTCCTGTGAGCTGATAAAGTGGGCTGGAAAGCAGTAGGCTGAGCAGTTCCTAGAACTCATTGCAGGGCTGACAACAGTTCCCACCCGCCACAGTAGAAACAGCTTTTAACACATGGGCTTCAGGTAGAATTCCCGGAAGACTGTTGCCTTAGTAGTGTGGTAATTAACCCTAGATTAAAGGCTACTTTGGACCCACAATGTCTGGCATGCAAAAAGGCAGGAAACTGTGACTTGTAACCAGTAGAAAAATAATCAGTAGAGACATAGAAAAGACTGTGGTTAGAAGTGGTTGGAATTAGTAGACATGGATGTTGATATAGCTATTATAAAGCAGAGGAAAACATGAATTTGATGAAACTTGAAGTGGAAGATATATTTAAAAGCCAGATGGGGCTTCACAGGGTGAGAATTTCTTAAAATTAAAAAAAAAAATGTGGGTGGAATTAAGAACAGATTAGACATAGAAGAAGAAAATAATGAACCTGAATAGTAAGAATAAAAACTATCCAAATGAGGTACACAGAGAAAAAAGAGGAAAGGGAATGGGGGGTCCACTACAGTGGTATGAAATACATATAATTGGAGTTTCAGAAGGGAAGAGAGACGAGGCAAAAGAAAGTATTTGAATAAGTAGTGGCTGAAAAATTTCCACATATGCTGAAAAGAATAACTCCACATATTCAAGAAGCTCAAAGAACACAAAACAGAAGAAACAAAATCATGCCAATGGACATCATGTCAACTTGATGAAAACCAGTGAGAACCTCAGTAAAGCAACTGAAGAAAAAAAGACAGAATGACAGCACACTTCTGACTAAAGACTGGGGAACCATTTGTAAATTACTGAAAGAGGATAAAAAACCTGCAACCTAGAATTTACCCATCAAAAGCATCTTTCAAAAATGAAAGCAAAAAGATTTTTCAGGAAAACAAAAGGAGAATTCATCACTGTACACCTGCCTTCAGGAAACATTAAAGTTGTTTTGGGGCAGCAGGAAAATAACATTAAGTGGAAATTTGGATCTCCAGGATGAAAGGAAGAGTTCTAGAAATGGCGAATATATAGGTAAATATAAAAGCTATTTTTCTCATTTTAAAACAGTAATAGTCCTGCTTACAGCAAAGCAATGACAATGTGTTTTTGCGTTATGATCTACTTAGAAGTAAAGTGTATGACCACAATAGTGCGTAAGTATGAACCTTTAAAAATAGTTGAATAGACTGTATCATCGGAGTCAGAAACCCGTTTCCTCGGGGCACAGGATGGCTTGTGTTTGTAGCAGCTGCACAGAATATGCATGGTGACGTTCCAGTGATGGTTTCTCTGTAGCAGTGCTGTGTGATCTATGTATGATAATAAAGTGGTTTCCACCATCAGGATTCTCTCTGCCCCCTTACTTGCCATATAGTGGAGGGAAAGGCCATTTTTGGGCATGAGTGAGTTCCATACATTTGTCCTATTGTGAATAGTGTTTGTATGCAGCAGACTGTGTCAGGCGGTGTCTGAGCTCTGGGACCAGCCGTGCTCTCCGTATGAGAATGGGGTACATAGCTAAAACAAAGGTCAGGCTGCTGTTCCTGCTGAGGCACAGTCTGTCAGCTGCTGCTGTGTGCTCCCACTGACAGCACATCTGGGGGTCGGGCTACACCGGCTCAGACCTGTTGCTGACACTTGTCTTGGTGCTGTATTTGAAAAGAAAACCTCTGTGCCTATGTTTACTGTGTACAGTTTGATAAATCGATACACGTGTGATCAATAGGAACAATAAACTCTGGCTTCCATTCCAGCTCTGTTTCCCAAACCTAATCTGAACGCACACAGGTCCCAAAACATGATCAGCTACACCCAAAACATCAGGTGGAAGCACATCTCAGTTCAGTTGCTGGCTGTGTTGAGTCAATGAGCCACCTAGTCCTTCGCTCACCTGGTGGGGTCTGGTGTCTGCACAGATGGAAAAAGGCTGCTTTTTTGCAAACTAAACATGGGTGGAGGGGACCCCTAATCCTCTGAGGCTTAACAGAGTAGAAAACTCGTAGCTTAGCCATTCCAAGAACATAGTTTCCAAGAAAAGTAGAGAGGAGACAGTGTGTTAAGGTTTACCCACATCTGCCCTGTGCTTCTGAAGATGAGGGTCTGGTAGGACTGTAGGCAGTTAAAAGTTGGAAACGCCAACAATGTCACCAAACCAAATCCTTGTTACACAGATTGGCAATGTCTTGCCAAAGTTCACATAGTGGCCGTGCCAGGCCTGATTCCACATTCTCCCGTCCAGTGCTCTGCCGAAGGGACACACCGGTACCCTTGGCTTCCTTTCCTGTCTTACTGCCTCGCACCCACCATCGTCAGTGAGGCCCCTGCTTGGATTAGTGCCTGAGTGAGGGTGTTCAATCGCACGCTTTTGCATTATTGAGGGTTTCCCATGGAAGGAATGAGGAATCACTAACTCTGCCATTCGTTATGCACTGGCACCTCCGGGAGGGGGGTGCTTCGTGCTTTTCTGTGTGTTTAGCTCATCGCTAACTACAAGGTATTTCGATATACCAAGGTCACTCAGCTCCCAAGTGGCAGAGTTGGCTTGGAACCCCTCTATCTCCCTAGAAATGAAGATAGATACTTAGGATACTACTATTAGTTATGCTGTGTTCATCGCTGTTTAAAACAGCTCAGGTAGCTCAAAATCCTTACGTTTACGTACTTTCACTGACTTAAGTCAATGACTGAGGGTTTGAAAGAGTCAGGAGCACAAGAGGTACAGCTCATTTGCAGTACTAGCTATCCTGCTACGGTGTCGTTTTTGACACATTAAGCTTTTTGGGGCTCCCATTTCCCAACAAAACTGAAATGGGACTGTAGTGGTCCTACTGTGTCCGATCCATCCGTGCTGTGAGGAGGGGTGGGGGCCATGATCCCCAGGCCCTGGGGATGTCATTTGAGATATGATCCATTTGTCCATTTGTCAGGATTGTCCACTGACTACAGAATGTATTTATTCTAGCAGCTGTTTTGTGGTTTTCATAAGATATCAGATGCAGAACAAAACTTCCTGTCCATTAAACCAATAGATTATGTTTAAAACAAATCTGGTTGCTTGTGAAATACAGTCTGAGTATCACCAAGGAAAAGCATGTAGCACAGTTGCTGCACTGCTGTGAGGCCATATTCCTGCTTCCCCTGCATCTTCCTCCCTTTGTGGCAGCAGTTTCAATAGTCGTTTGAGCCATGTGCCTCTCAGCAATGGGATTTTATTTTTGCTTACATTTAACAACAGTATGTTCCCTTAGCCCAGCCGGCATGAGGCGAAATGAGACTCATGTAAATAGTCGGCACGGCGGAGGCGCTGAGGCCTTATCTTCTCATTTTATTCTTTTGCTAAAGCATTTTAAAGAAAATTATAACGATGACATTTCATCCCTAAATACTTTAGTACTATATCTAAAAATGGCATTTTCCAACATAACCAAGCTGTTGTAATAACTCCATCCAAGGAAATCAACAACGATCTCCTACTGTCCAATAACCCAACAGAAAGCATTTCTCAAGATTTACTCTTGTAAAGGGGGAATCTCGGTATCCAGGACACGAGTGGGGTGTGTATGTGTCACATTTAAGTACTTAGTCATCTAAAATAGTTTCCTTGTGAGAGACAACAAAACGAAGGGCTCGTTCCCTGTGGAAGGAAACGTTTTTCCCCATTACACCGTAAGAGTAGATCATATCGGCCTGAAATAACACTGATGGGGTAGCAATGCACCTCACGTCTTAACAGACTTTCTCCGGGGAGTCTGAACTGCTGGGTCTGCGTGCGTCTCTGCGCTTCCCGCACGGCTTGAGCATTCCTGTCGGTGCTCCATTGGCAAGTGACTCCGCCTTTTGCCCTAACACGGCATGGGCGGCGGCGACAGCCGAGGTCCCCGAAGACGCAGACCTCCCGGCCAGCACCAAAGATGGCGTCCCGGCCCTCAGCCTCCCATGTGCGCATGCGACCCCCCCCCCCCCCCGCGTCCACTCTAGCCGCCGCGCTCGGTGGGCGCTTCGCCCAGCCAATCGCAGCCGCGGGCCCCGCCCCCGCGGATCAGCTGAGGAATCCGCGATGTCTGTTGACAGCAGCGGCAGCGCGGCCGGTTCCGGGTTCGGCGCGGGGCGGGGGCTAAGCCGGGCGGGCGGCTCGCGGGAGGCGGCGCGGCGGAGGCGCTGAGGCCCGGAGGCCACAGGGCGGAGCCGCGGGCAGCCGCCCGTCCCGACGTTTCCGGGTCGGAGTCTCGACAGATGTGAATCGGATGGAGCAGCCGGGGGAAGGCGAGCAGACGCCTCCGCAGCAGCCGTGGGGGCGGCTCCTCCGCCTGGGCGCCGAGGAGGGCGAGCCGCACGTTCTCCTGCGGAAACGGGAGTGGACCTTCGGGCGGAAGAGAGGTGCTGGCCGGGGCCGGGCACAGGGGTGGGGACGGGAGCTGGGGACCGAGGGCCCGGGTGGGGTCGGAGGGCGGGGACGGGAGCCGGGGTTGGGGCGAGTGGCCGGGTGGGGTCGGAGAACGGGGACCCGTGTCCGGCGTGGGGACGGGGCGCGGGGGCGGGAGCCGGGAGGCCCTGGGCGGGGCGCCGTGCGGACCAGCTTTTCCCGTGAGAGCGGCCATTTATTTACTCACTGGGGTGCGCCCGCCACTGCCGAGTGCTCCGCCGATTGCTTAACCCGGGGACGCCTTCGTGGGGGAGGCGATCGACTCGTCCCCGCGTGCAGTTGCCCTGCCCCGTTACTATTACTGCCCGGAGCACCCCGTCCGACCTCGGTGCTGAGGCCCCGGTGGGGGCGGCGGCCGGAAAGGCAGAGCTCGGTTTAAACAGCGCGCTCAACCCGAGGGCCCCGGAGTTCCCGGAGCCAGAGAACAGCCGGGGATAACGTGGAAATGGACCGCCCGGGTGAGACGCTGCTAAGGCAGCACTGCAGGGAGGGGGTCGCCGCGGGCCTCCTCCTTAGAAAGAGCTCAAGCCCCCGCACCGGACTTGGGCTTCCCGGTGCCGAGGCCCCTGAAGCACGTGTTGGCCCAGGGACTGGGGAAGCCCAAGTCCCGCAGCTGCCGAGAGAGAAGGTGCCCGGCCCCCCGCCCCCCCCCTTCCTGCCCTGCGGGCCTGCCCACCACCCATCGCGTCATTGACTCGAGAAATGCACTGATCAGGCAGAAAGCAAAACAAAACACAAACACTTAGTTTGCCTGAAAATAAATGATCACTCTGACTGTGTACTTTAAAATAGAGGGAATGAGAAAGACTACTGTTTAAAAGCATGTGTTTTTGGTTTCATTTTATCCCTCATGATGGACGTGCAGCTGTTTTTATTTTGGGTGGTTTTGTGGGGTTCTCTTTGGTCGTCTTAAATCCCAGGATCAAGTTAATTTTTTTACAACTTTGGAAGTGCTTACCTGTCATTAGAAACTTTTAAAAAACAAA